GGGTTTGGTCCAAAGCACACATGCTTTTGGCTGGGCAGATAGTATCAGGGCTCGTGCATGGACCTGCAACTGTCTGCAGGCTGCTGGTGAGGCATTTATCCTTTGAATAGAAGGAGCTGGATGGGCTGCTGATGCCTGGAAGCGCAGCCTCTGCGCCAGTCTGACCACAGTCTTGCAATTGTTCAGCCACACTGGAGGGAAGAGGGGAAAAAAACCCCAAAACATAACATTCCAAGCAGTGCCAAATTTTCTTTGATATGTTAATCTTTTGATAACAGTTTGAAAAGCCCTTGGAGACCTTTTTTTAGATTTTAGACAAAATAGTTCATTTGTCAGGACTTCCCTTGTAGATAGGGTCTCTGTTATTAAGAACTGCCTCGCTCACTCATGGTAACAAAAGCAAGTGCAGAGGACAGCTGCTGGACTGCTTGGTGGTAAGAGAAACTCTTAGTTATCACAGGGGTTTTTACAAATGTCTGAAAAGAATAAAGTAGGGAATGTTCAACATACAAATGTGTTAGTTTATTTACTCGTGTATTTTAAGCAAACAGATGATAACAGAGCATAAGTAAATGTAATAACTTGATAATTTCCTATGAATATCCACAAATGGATTTTAATAGACTTCAGCTTTAAAAATTATATTTTAATCTGAGAAATTTGGGATTTAAATTACCCACTGATTGCAGGAAATATCAAAAGTTTCTTTTGTAGCTGTAGTTTTTCCAGACCTTGAAATTTTTCTCTTGAAATTACGAAATTTCCACTTAGGATGAAAAACTGGAAGAATAAACTGATGGCAGCAATGTGTATATATATATGAGTTAGGGTATTATTATATGTAAGGATTGTGGAATTGGGACAAATGAAGAGAAAAGATGGAAGATATCTTTGCTTCTTACCTCCCAAGTCTCCTAAATCAAACTTTAAGGGTAAAATTTGCACTGAAGTAGTTTGCTAATTATGCCAACTGTTAGGAAACTGACTTAGGATAAGCCAGTGCTCCTTCAAAAGTGTTGCTTGCGGAACTCTTCAGGTGTACTGATTGAGACTTACTGTGGTGTTTTTAGAACAATTTCTTTAATAGACATGCCATGAAGTCACTTGCATCTTTTATGCTGTTGCTACGAATGTTTATTGCCTATAAATATTTTGGTAAAATTGCTGCTATCTTGGTTGTTTAGTCAGGATAGAACAACAAATACCTACTGGTGTAGTAATTCAGAAAAGATGCAGCATTTTATTCACTCTGGGGGATGCCTTTAGTTTTAAGCCCTGTACTCTGCTGCAATTTCTTCAGTGATCCAATTTGTGATTTACTTTAGCTCTAAAATAGTGTCATCTTAAATCTGAAGCTGCGGGTGCTGTCCTACTCACAGCTACATACTCTTTAGGATGGAGACAAATAAAAAATTGTTTAATTTAGTTTTGATGTACTGTATTTTGCAAAGTTGCGGATTTACTGCTTAAGCTTGTGAGTCAAATGTATGCTCTTAGAAGTATTTGCAGTTCAGACACTTCACCTGACCTCTAGACTATTTGTTAAAAAGTCCCTGAGTTATTCTAAAATATTGCAAGTGATTTTATTCTCTTGATCTCAGTGGCAAGCAGCATTTCTTTTACAAACGTTTTTGATCTTTCCTATTTCTGTCTCTAGAGTATGCTTAGCTATACAGTAGTAGCTCAATAAGTAAAAATTATGTGAATGGAGTGGCAGTAACTTTCACCATTTCCATTGGTTTTAAATCCTTTCTTTAAAAGGTTTCTATTTTCAGTTTGTTAAAGGCGGAGAGGATTTCTTCAGCTATTCACTCCAGGGAACTTGGACTAGAGAGAAACTGAGCAGCAGCCTATGCTGTGCATCAGAGGCACATTATATTTGAATATTCCTATGGCCATGTTGCTTATTGCAAGTGGATTTCAACCTCACTTCAATTTGAGTACTAGTAAAATGTCATACTCTGTCATGGTCTGAAAAGTCCAAGGCTTATATTGAAATCTTTGATTAAAGATTTAAAGTACTGAAATGTTTAATTTCCCCCCATGTTATAGAAAGAAGATCAAAAGCAGATTGCTAAAGTCTCTTCTGAATTGGTGACATTCTTTCAGTCTGACCCAGCAGCCTGAAGTCACCCAAGGAGGGCAGCCCTGTGGAGTCCCTGTGGTGGTGTTCAACCCCAGCTTTCAGCAGGGCAGTGAGAGACAAACAAAGCAGTTACCTGTTTGAGGTCTTGATGATGAGCCTGGGCTGATGGTGTGCTGGAAGGGATATGATTGGAGAAAGAATGCTGTTCTTCGTTGCGGAAAAGAAATTATTTTCATGACCCATCAACTAAGAAAATATCTCTAATGTTTTCTACGTATAAAGACTTGAATTTGAGTTTAATTTGGAAAATTACTGGCAGTATGTGCAATGTTGAGAATGTGTGTTCGTATGAGTATAAAATAATGCAGATGGAGTTAATGATGCGAGTCAAAAATAGCCTTCTAATGCTCCTCATGTATTCCCTGTTTGATTCTATCTAGCTGTTCACAGAACTCATTGAATCACAGCAATTATCGCTGGTGTTCTCAGTGCTAAGATTTCCCCTTGTACTTCTTCAGACCCACAACTTGATGCTCCTTCATTGTAGTGGAATAGCTCTAAATGAAGGCAGTTGCACTTCTCCCTCGTGTTGCCATGGTGTTCCATAAGGCACCTGTGCTGACATGTTGGCCATATGAAAATTCCAGTTGAGATAGATTGATCTGGAATCTGTTTGCACATATTTTGCTGACTGGAACTTTCCTGTATCAAGTTGTTGCTCGATGTGTCTGTCCAGTTGGAGTGTTGCCTGCAGGCACCGTTTTTGATGTTACCATACATTATAGCGGGAAAGTGCATGTTTGTTTAAGAGCACACTAGTTCAAGTATGATTAATCTAATAATTCTCTTCTGGAGCTGTGAACGCTATTAGAAGTATAATTCTGTACATACACAGAACGTTTTTTGGCTTCTTGATTGAAAATGTGATTTGTATGGTGTACATAAAATTGTTTGATGTGATTAATTTAAAGATTGTCCTCGGGAGCTTTCTTGGCAATCCTGTGTAGGTTTAGGACAGATTTTAACTGGTTACATATATACCTATATCTTTCCCAGGATAAAAAGCTGCTTAGTGAAGAAAAGGGGCAATTTAAACAAAAGTGTGGTTTAGAATTTGCAAGACTTGTGTAGTTTAATTTCCAAATAAACCTGCAGTAAGATTATAGATTACTGTTGGATAGCAATAGAAAATTTTCATCTTAACAAGGCAAGGAATGTGTGAGCTGGTGTTTCTATCAAAGGAGACAGTTGTTGCCAAATTAGCTTTCTTCCATTCAGAACAAAGTGCCAGCTGTATCAAGCACTAAATTTATGAAGTGCTGAGCTGCTTCTCACCTGAGACTGAGCTCTGTGTTGTGATGCAATTCTCTGCTTTGAGTGTGTGTTTCTTCTATTAGGACCTTATTCAACAGTGGGAGTAGATTTCTGAGGAGACCCAGATTTGGGCAGTGAAAGAAACCTTTTCTGTTGGATTCCTGCTTCCTTTGTGGGGTTAACTGGAAAGGAGGTGGTAGGTTGCAGAAAATATGTGAGGATGTGATGATGTTGATAAGCAGCAGGAGTTGGGGAGGAAGGACCCCTTGAAGTTGGCATTGCTGATGAATGTAAGTGCATGGATCTGAAGGCTGGCTTCGAGGGGATCTGACTTGGACTCTGGTGATTTGGTTTGTGAAAATGTTGGGGAGTTAATGACAGCAAATAAGTTGGTAATGGTTGTGCTACCTAGTACTAATAACAGCCTGAAAAAGGACAATTACAATAACTACTTGTGCTATGACTTAATACTTGAGGACTGGTTACATGCTGTGGTAGTAAGTGCTGTTTTCTGAGAGATTTATGTAAGTGCAGTAAATAAAATCGAAAGCTGTACCATGTCAGTGTAGAGGATTATGATTAATCCATGTCTTGGCAGGTGAGCACTGGCTGTTCAGTGGTTTTAACCGTGGTAGTTGGTCCTGGGGAAGTACGATATGGGTGCATTAATTAGACATTGTACACAATTATCAGGACAGGGGTGCCCAAGTGAAGGTTAGATGCTGTTTTAATTTCAAAAATTTAGGTTTTTGACATGATACTTTTGATTTTACTATTTTATGTGATGCTGAAGATTCTGATGAGCCTCATAGTATGGTGTAGCCTTTGTAGCTTTTCCCTATTGCAGTAAGGATCTGTATGCCCTATATTAATCTTGTAGACAGGCAGCTTCATATTTTTTCCTGTCTTTCCCTATTCATGAAACTTACGATCATAATCAGTCCTCAAAGCAACTCAAGATCAGCAACTGTGAGAGATTTACAAGGAGAAATCAACCTTTTGATAGAAATTGAATACTGAAAGAAGGGAAAGGCTGACCATTGAGAATGTCTTGATTTAGAAATACTAAACTGGGGATCAAACCTTTTTTAGCTTCTACCTATTTTTCTACTTGGATAAGAAATGCACATCTCAGGGGATACAGTGCCTTTCCTCTCAAAGGATAACCCAGCTTCTGAAAGCATCTGATTGGTGCTATTACATATAGAGTGATACAAATGAGTAATATTGACCTACTTTTAAGCTTTTTTTTTTACAAGTTTAATTTACATTTCCCTCATGAAGCTTGTAGAATGTACCAAAAACTGCTTGCTGCGTGTAGAATGTTAGTTAAATTGATACGAATTTCCTCCCCCTCTTTCCAAGCCTGCTGTTTGTGCAGTAATGCACTTATATTCATCCTATGTTCAATTTTAAAGCTTTATAGAACTTCTTGGATCATTAATTCTGGAAACTAATAACAGTGCAAATTTAAGATCTGTATTAATATTTGGCAGTGGTTTATATATGTGTATGCACTTACAGAAAGTTTGAAACAACCTCAAACTTAGGTATAAAATCTGTGATATTGCTTCAATTTTTAATTCTTTTGTTGTTGAAGGTCTTCCATATCTCAAGTCGAGAAGTTCCATATCATACTAAACATGGAGAAAGAAGAAAAGAAATATGTCAATAAAGCAGAGGAAGATGAGATGGTAATGAATTCTGTACATCTATTTCTATACAATGAAAGGAAAACATTTTCAGAGTTTTCTGTCTAAAGTGGGCACATTACATCAAGAAATGGACTGTCTCAGTGTAAATAATTTATCAATTTTATAAGGTTATCCTTGATAATATTTTTGCTGTTAAGAAATCTAGTCTTGGGATAGGAAAGGTTTTTGTTGAAAGCCTTTGCAAAGGTTCTGGAAGCTGGTTGAGGTCAGTAGTCCAGTAGATAACACATTTTGGTACTTAACATTTCTTTTTTAAAATGAAAATCGAAAATTAGTGGGTTGTTGGTTTTTTTGGTGGTGGTTGTTTGCTTTTTGGGTTTTTTTTTCACCTCCAAATCCTGGAGCTTTTTTCTTGGCATTTAAAACAGGTTAATGCTTCATAACATGACCGTACTTTGCATATTTTTATTTATGCAGATAAGACCCACTTCAAGGACCTGACAAGAACTTTTGTGGGTATTTGGTAGCACATAAACTTTGCTTCCTACTGGAGTGATGATACCTCTTACTGTTTGTCCTGGAAGATGCAGAATTAGGCTTTGACAGGAAAATACCAGACGCTGACTTTTAAATTTCTAGTCTGTTTGCGTATATAGGGATTTTATTTATTTTTTTTAAGAAATTTTAGGTTTCTGTGAATTAAAGTCCTTATTCCGTCCTTGTGCACACAACTAGGAAATGTTGTTCTTCACTAGACAACTCTTAATACAGAGAGCGGGCATATACATTGTACAACAGGAGGTGCTTATGACCAGATCACTCAAATAATTGCTTTTTGGAGGAAATAATTTGATTTTGCCCTAAAAAGAGACATTAACTTCTCCCACTATCCTTCACTGTCCTATTTTTATTGCTAAGAAGTGTTTTGGGGATAACAGGCTTTATCTCTGCTTTTTTGTCAGCTGAGAAGGTGGCAAAACAAACTTTTTGAAAAACCTTTTCTTAGGGAAGGAGTTTAAACAACTTCTAATACTGTTTAATGAAAAGAAAAAAAATTGCAAAAAGTTGATGTCGATATGGACAATGGGTGGGACTCAATGGGAAACTTCATTGCCCTTTTACAGCAGGAAATATAATCTAATGATGTAATGTGAAACTCAGGAATGTAACACAGCATCCAGCAAGTCGCTATATTGTTTTCTTTTCCTGGCTGTCATCAAGTTAAGTTGGTGCTTGCACACTGAATACTTTAAGGTTTTTAATGGGAGAAGAGGATTTTTGTAGCTGGTGAAAGTTACAGAACCTTTGAATGTGACTTGCAGTTTATTGTGTACCATTTCTTGTTAAATGACAGGCAAAACAAACCACTAAAAGTAGTGTTTCATAAATACGTTTACAGGTTTGTTTAGAAAGTATGAAATTCAGCCTGCAGTAATTCAAAAGTGTATATGATAGCTAATCAAATGTTAATGTTGTAAAATCAGCATTTGACAAAACCACATGATTTTGCTCTTTAATGTTTACTGACCTGTGCTGTGTTGTGGTCAAAAATGTCGTTCAGTGAGAGTTAAGGCAGGTTGTGTTGCAGCCTTGGTCCTTAGGGAGCTGTATAGAGAGGAGCCAGGTCCTGCAGTGAAATGTTTCACACAGTGTGGGTGAGCTGCCTCTGTCAGGCTTTTACTGATGTTTATATTTCTGACCGAGCAAAACAGTGTTCCTTTTTTCTGCCACTCCACCATGTGCTAAATGGTTTTAAATCTTTCCTTCCCCCAGAAAAGCAAGAAGAGAAAATGGTTTTGAAATTTGATTTCCTTTAAATACTGCATGCTATGAAAAATTAATGTTGGCATCCCGAACCAGAGTAGTTTAAGAGGGTCATTGTTACTTGTTTCTACTTCCATGCAGGAGATCTATGGCTATGATCTGTGTCGCTGGAAGTTGGTGCTAGTTACTGTAGGAGTGATCTGTTCTGGTGGATTTCTTCTCCTCCTCCTCTACTGGATGCCTCAGTGGCGTGTGAAATCAACGTGCAAAAGGACTACGCTCAAAGACTGTGAAGTGGTTCTGCTGAGAACAACTGTAAGTCTAGAGGGGGATGTGCTTCTCCCAGTTTGCAGTTCCTTGGCATCCTTCTTCCTGCTTGCTGGAATACACAAATCCTTGCCTGCAGTGTAGACATTGTTGTGTTTAACAGCACTGCAGAATTGTTGCTCCTTGGCACTGTATGTAGGTTTACTGCCTGCATGGGAAGACTCACAGCTGTTTGCAGCTGACATAGCAAAAAGAAAGTCTTTAGCTTTCCATTTTAAGAATTAAATACATGAATGCTGTTGTCATCAAAAGTTACAGAACAGAGACTGTTTTCATATAAGCTGATAATGTGGTTTGCAAGTTTCCCCTCCCTTGTTCGGCAAAGATATATTTGTTGAAATAAGGTGTAACTATTGACCCCAGTGTTGTTTGATTTCAGGAGATTTTCTTCCTGCACAATTGCTATGTGTAGTCCCTCGTTATGACCTTGTGTTTAGTCCTCAGTTATCAGAAGCTGTGGGGTGGGTGTAGCTGAATGCATAGCAATCCTGTATTTCCTCCCACTACAGAATAATTGTGAAGGCCTGAATATGTCAAACTTCAGGTACCAAGATTCATTGCTTGCAAAAAAATAGATCTTCTGGTGCAAAAAATATGCTTTTAGAATTGTGGAAAGAAAATTATTCTTAAGGTAACTGGTATTGGGGATATGTTCTGTAATTATGGGTGGGCTCTGCTAATCTTTTATCTGCCATTGACACATTTTGCTACAGCTTTTGTAGTAAAATGCTGTTTAAATGCTCTTTCAACTAACTCATTTCCCTCCCCCCCTTTTTAAGGATGAATTCAAGATATGGTTTTGTGCAAAGGTTCGCGTTATGCCTTCTTTGGGAGCCAATCCCCTACAAAATCCTAACCGTATAGTACACAAGGTTTCAAATGGCCATCCTGTTCATTTCTGTGAATCTGCCGCAGAAGAGAATAAAAACGATTCGAAAAAATATTTGCCTGTAAGTACACCTGCAATACTGTGCTTGCTAATTGTCAAGCATCTCAAGTACTACTGAGAGTAAACACAGTGCAGCACACCTGAGCTTCTGCTTTTGTCTAGAAGGCTAACTCATTCTTTGGGTGGAACACACCCAAAATAACCTTTTACTGGAAACTGTGGAATGCTTGAAAGATTACGTTGAGAGAAAAGTATTTGTTTTTCAGTGAAGCTTTTCTAAATTCACTTACTGTCACTGCCCAGAATAAAGTCAGTCAGGAGAGAGGTGTTAAGTGGTGCCAGTTAATATCTGTGTCTGTTGTCTTTGCAGATTCGTTATTTCACGCATCACAGTGTGAAGTATTTTTGGAATGATTCAGTTCAAAATTTTGATGTTGTACGGTAAGTATACTTCTTGCATGTGTGTTGTACTTCAAACTGCATTTTTAAAAACGTACAATAGAACATGGTGAAAATTGATGTCATATTCTAAGCAGCTGTTTTAGGTCACTGAGTCTTTGTTTGAACCATAGTGAGTGCAGCGAGAGTTTAAGTTGGTGCGAATTTGGACGGAAGGTGTTTGTTTGATCTGCCTTTATCGAGCATGATTCCTGCAGGGTGACAGGCTGCATGCCTTCTGCAGGCTTTTTGCCTGTTCTTGGAGTGCTATTTGAAAATCAGAGCACCTGTTTATAGATAGTAGTTCTACTTCTGTAAACGCTCAAAAAATTTGCTTGCGATGGAATAACTTATATTTTTTGTGTTACTGCTGAACTGGACCGAAAGGTAGTAGTATCTAGGGAAAAGAGGAATTCACAAAATACCTTGTTGCTCATCTTGGTGTAGGTATTCTGTTACACTGTAGTCCAGTTGAGCTGAATTTGATTCCTGTTTTGTTACTCTTTAGTAACATAAACAGGTCTGTTGCATTGATAAAAATGCCTTTTAGTGGGCAGTGCTAGCTTGTGATGCACTGTAGTTTCTTTTATCCAACAGCACTGTTACATGATATTACGGTTAAAAAAGAAGATTCTTCTTTCTCATGCTACTGGTAAGGTCTTCTCATAGTGCCACAAGTTAAATGAGCACGGGCTTCTCCATTTTTGGCAACTGCCAATGAAAATAATTAATTCAAATCAGAAACATAACCTCTTTTAGAACTAAATCAATGTTCATTGCATTAAACCATCATGTGGAAAAGGTCAAGCACTACATATAGAAAAAATTCATAACCAGTGACTGAAGGAAAGAAAAACAGCCAAAATTTCACTAAGAAGAAACATACTGTGCCAGTGGTTATGTTTCAAAAAAGTGTGGGCAAATGATATGGAAAGTTATCAGCAATTAAAGCAATTTAAAGAAATTATCATAACACAAGTAGTTACAAAACTGAGCAGTCCTCCTCTGAGAGGGTGGAAATGTCTCAGTTCACGTGTAAATAGTTCAAAGCTTTGTGTGCATTTTTCATGTTAAACCTCTTATGAATTAAAGTGGTGCAGGTAGTAACACTTGCCATTTTGCATTACGAAGTCCTGTTTTCATGCCTGTAGTGTTCCTAAATTAAATTGTTCAAAGGGAGTATTTCCCACAGATGAGATTAAGAAACTTCACTTGTATGTTAAGAACAGGTATTGGAAAAAAATCATACAACTCCACGTGTTTAAAATAAATGTTGTTCCTTAGCATTAAAGCAGTGACTTGAAACTTGGCATTTGTTGGCTGTTTCACTGTGCCTTTTGATGTTCTTGTGATAACTCAGCCAATTTATAAGCCCCAGAAAAAATCTCAGATATGCCTGTGAAGTTATGTGAGCATTTATTCAATCACATTCTTGCTGATAAGCCAAACTTTCATTTCTTTGATGTATTAGCCATGACTGAGCCTGACCACTTGTTTAGTCAGGTACAGTAGCTGAACTGGACATCATTATTTAGCTGTTAAATAATAAAGAGCAGAAAGATCTGGATCTGAGACACTCTGGATACTGTTAGAGCACTAAATCACTTTTTCACAAGGTCAGATAAAAGTGCCAGTTTGCTATAACTTTTCTCTAAAGTGAATGGTCATTTAGTGAAGTACTGGATACTACATGCGAAATAATAGCTGAGCTTATGAATGATAAATAATCTGAAAAGAAGTCTTAAAAATTTATTCTTTGCTAAGATACATTTTCTTATTCTGCTCTTCAGTTTATATGTCGTGGTTTTGCTTTGGGTCAATTTGCTTTCACACCCCCCACACAATTACTATTAGTTGAGAGAAGGTTTATGCAGACAAAAGAGACTGGATTTGGGGAAAATAGTATGAACATTTATTACTAGCAAAATAAAAACTACTAAGGAATTATATCTATAACAACTCTACTTAAGTAAAAAGTACTATGTATTTACAGAAATACTTCTCCTCTCTTTATATCAGTCCAAGGAGGAGAAGCAGTTTCTTTCTCCATTCTCGGAGCTCCAGATCTTCTCAATAACTCTGCAGCACTCTCGTTGCAGCTGGAACTCCTTCATCTCTCTCTCTCACTCTGTGTCGGCCTCCAGGGCTGGGCCTACTCCCCTCCTGGGCTAAGACTGGAGGCTGGGGTTTACCCAGGTTCTGAAGGTTTTTCTTCTCCATGGGGCTTGCAAGGGGACACTTGCCCACTATGGATCTTCACCACAAGATTACAGGAGATAATGGCTTTTGAGTCCACCCCTGTTTTCCTGTGAGGTCCCTTCCCATGGGAGAACAGTCCTTGATAGACCTCTCCAGCATGGGTCTAGCATGGATCCCTCACTCGGATCCCAACATCCTACCTGGGCTGTCTCGCTCCAGCGTAGGTTTCCCTTAGGGTCACAAAATCTTCCACAGGACTCTGCCTCACCTCAGTCCTTTTCATGAAGTCTCGGTTCTCTGGTACATCCACAAGCTCCTCTGTGAACCTCATGAGGGTCTCCTCACCCCAACAATCTTCTACAGGTAGCAGGGATTACTTTTCAGTCTTTTCCCTGCTGAAGGGAGAGAGCAAGAGGGGGAAGAAGTAGCCCCTCCCCCCCCTTTTAACTTCTCTTTCCTCCGGCTGCCAGCTTTGACCTTGGAAGTCCCTTATCTCTTTGCCGGAATTCTTCTGCCGCGGTTCTTCGTCCAAGCAGTCAGTCTTTTAAACTTTTTTTTTCTTCATTCTCTTACAAGAGAGAAGGAAGGCTTCAGTGCCACACCTGCCCCCAGCCCAAGCCAGGGGAGGAGGGGGCCTTGCCCTCCTCGGGCCTGCTGCCTCTTCTACATGGCTGCTGCCCCTAATTTCAACTGAGCTACCAACCTTCTCTTCCGTTTTCTTAAATATGTAATTAGCAAAGGCATTACTGAGAGTTTTAATTGGCTTCTTGTCCGGAAATCCACCTGGACAAAACCATTCTCAGCCCCAGTGGCTGGTCGGCTGTGCAAAACCATGACAATAAACCAAAAGTTGGTATCACCTAATAAGATCGTAGAAAATCAAGTTAATATTTAAGAAAAGACAGTATATGAGATAAAGGCTTTTATAGTAAAATCTGTAAGGCAGGCAACACACTTGTACTTGTGATCTAAGCACAGTCTTGCATCATGGAGAAGATTCACTCTGTGCAGCTGCTTGTACAAGTACCCAGGGACAAAACAGTTTGATCACATAATGAAAGATGTAGCACAGCACAGAAGGGAAGCAAATTAAGATTTCTTGGGCAACTGATTCAGTTATGAGAGCTTGAGTTTCATATAATTATTTTTATATTACTGTCATATTAAAGATCACTGTTTTAAATACAGGAAATGCAAGTGTAATTGTTCTTAAACTAAATCAGATTTGGTCACAAAGCCAAAGAGGATGCAACTCTGACCTTGGATGTCTGTTTTGTTTTAGCTAGTGTCAGCTGAGTCTCTGAATGGGTTGATGAGTGCTTTATGTAATAAACTGTGTGCACACAGGGATTTCTTTTTTTTAATGCCCTGGGAATTCAGTCTGTACCAGTACTGTAAAAAGCAGAGAACATCCTGCTAGAAGCTCTGTCTTTACATGGACATTGCACACATAGGTATGCTTATTTACATATCAAGCACTTAATTTTGGGAACCCTTCTTAAATACATTGTTACATTCCTTTTCCTACAGGAAAATAAAGATTGAATCATTTGGGATAGAATGGCAAGAAAATTAACAGAGTTTATGGTTTTTTAATTTAAAATTTTATTTTATTTTTAGTAAAATATTATATTTTTAAAATCCTTGAGCTTAATAATGTTAGAGAAAACTTGTAAACCTGAGGTCAGGTTAACTCATCATTTTCACCTCCTGTTCTTTTCTGAGCAGTTGGTGGAAATGTGATCCTAGGCTTTAGGATGTTGAAGTTTTCCCTGTGTTCTACAGGATGGAAGCAATTATTACTATATATGCACAATAAAGAGTTGTTTGTTTGTTTCACTGGGACAAACTCTGAATTCTTTTCGATAGATAACTTCTTAGATATATAAAACAGACTTATGTGGCATAGTGCTGGTTTTGTCATGGCATCTGTGAAAGCCTTTTGGAAGGTAGTGATATTTTCCTTTGCATCCAAAGTATGCAAATACCTGGATATCGGGCATGATACTGTCTGATTTACTGACTTTGGTAGTTAAAATGATCTCATAGGTGCAAACATAATGATGTTTCAGGTGTGCTTGCTTATCTGCAGATCTTTGAAAGTACAGCATTCACTTTCATATCATGTAGAAAAGCCCTGTGAAGATGACTCTTCTGGTGTTAAGAACTGAAAATGTAGACTGTACTTTTCCTAGTCGTGGATAGCATTTTGATAGCAAGATGCTGCAAAATAGCTGTGGTATAGATTTATTTAATAAATTGACTAATGATTTTTTCTAAAGTACTTCCATTACTGCTTAGAGTCCATTGAAAATAATTTGAAGAAATATTAATACATATTGATTGCTCACTTTTTAGAGACCTTTGAGTCCTAGTTATGCAAGTATTTTACTGCATTTTTTTAAATGTGTCTCCTTTTTGCTTGAAATAGGTATGACTATCCTACAGAGTAAGACATACCAACCAAAAACCTGCTGTTAATGTTTCACTGGTAACTGTAGTTCTGGCAAAACCAGCTTAAAACATAGACTTGGTTGTTTTATTATACAGTGCACCTCTTGGCAAAGACCTAACTTCCTTGAGTTCCTGAAGACTTACTTTTAAATATCAGATTTCTTAAATAACTCATTGACTTTTTTCCTTTACTTAGAGGTCTAGATGAATCTACATTCTGCTCTGCAATTCACAATGAACACAGCACAGGGCTGACAAAGGAAATGCATGATTACAGGTAATATTGCAGTATTTGAGGGAAGAATTGTTTTTATTCAGTTACCCGTGATCAGACTGCTAACGAAACTAGAAGACAATAGAGTGAACAGCATTTGCGGACAGGCTACTGCACTTCCTTCAAAGAAGGTTGTTATATGTATGGAATCCTTGCTTTTCTTACCTATAGATTGAGTAGGAACTAGGCTCTGATATTATATTGACTTACTTTTCTCAAACAACACTGACTATGGGAATTGGATTGAATAAAGTCATTCAGAATATATTTCTGAAATCTTATTTAGTACTTAACATTTTGAAATAGGATGAAGGTTGACACTATGTTTTCAACCACTTTGGCAGGTGTACAGTGAAATTTGGCAGTTGATATAAAACTCCATGTAGTAATTTTTTCCACATAACTCACCTTTAAGCAGCATAAATGTTACCACAACATACTGTCACTGTCGAAGGGTGTGTACAGGTTCAGGGGCAAATAGATTGATGCCCAGTGGAAAAGTCCATTAGGTGTTCTTCAACTGGAAAGGTCCTCAATTGCCTCAAGCTGCAGATTGTTGACAACTTGAAGGGAAAACTGAGTGAGATCATTGTGCTGCTGCTTGATTTCTTTCCCATCCTTGGCTAGTGGTCATTGTGAAATAGGGGATAGTGTGCTAGATGGCTAATAAGGATTATTGAATGCCAGGAAGTAGCAAACCTGGCGTAAACTGCAACTGATTTCTGATTTTTAGGAAGAGCATGTTGAAGCTTCCCAGGTCTTAGGACTTGAAGTGTGTCATATAGCTTACATGGCTCTGTCTCTGGTTGGTTGGGGCTAAATGCATTCTCCACTTTTTCTTTAAATTATGGTTGTCAAGAAATAACTTGGGGGAAAATAATATTTTAACATGCTATTTTAGACTGATGGTGTAAATATGCTTGTCAAGTAACACAGCTGGAGTGCATAAGTCGAGAAGAACTTAGTCTAGAAAAAAAGTCTTAAAATGTAATTTAATGGCATGTAGTTCAGGGATTTTTTAGTTCTCTGTTGTGAACAACAAGCTGTACTGTATGTTGTGATATTTATTGTTAGTATTCTAGTTCACGGATACACTACCAAAACTAGAATAGTTTTGGTTCTGTTGCATTCCTGGCTGATTTTTTGGCAAATGAGACCTTAGAGGTTAAAGTATGGAAGCATCTGCTTGCTCGTCATTTCATTTTCCAGCAGTTTGTGTCTTTTGCTACAATAAAAGTCTTTCCCCTAAGATCATATTTTAAGGGCTTTTCCACATCACTGACATTTAACCATCTTGGATCCCATCAGAGCTTAGTTTCTTGCTCCTCCTTTCATGATTTGCCTTTCTTCGTTCTAAGAGTAAAACTAAGATACATGACCTGTGTCTAACTGTAGGGTAAGAGTTAACACTTGTTTGAGCTTAGGTTAACGAGAATCACGTACTGGCTTTCAGAACGACATATTTAATAACACTGGACCTATATACAGCTTACAGGAAAATCTTGTTATGAAAGAACCTAAAATTAAGTTACAGTTTAAATTGAAGTATAAAAAAATTACTTTGTATTGGAACATCTCACTGTGTAAATGTTTTTTGATAAACACCTTTTGAAACAATATGATAAATAAAAGGTACCACAGATTTAGTAATATGTTAGACTTTCCCATAATAATAGAATTACTGTCGCATCAGTAAGACTCCAAATAAAAATCTTACCTTTTTTTTATTCTGTTTTTCCTTTTTAATGCAGAAGAGCATTCTATGGAGTAAACGAAATTGCTGTGAAAGTGCCTTCCATTTTTAAGCTTCTGGTTAAGGAGGTAAGATCTTTTCTTTAACAAATTAAAGAAAAAAATTATGTCATTGAAGGTTACTATAAGTGCAGTGACTATTGACTACTGGAAACCTTTCCCCAGAGCCCAGCACTGTAAAGCAAAATTGTATGGACCATTTTTTTTGAGCTCTTCAGCTCCCCTTTGAGCTAAGACTCTTAAGAGGCCTTAGCTGTAAACTCTTCAGAGTTCACAACCTGATGCCTTAGCAAGGACGTTAGAAAACGTGTCAGAATTCTTTGAAAGGGTCAGCACTTTATTTTTTTTTAGTTAATTCAACACATAAAGTAACACATAAAGTGTTCTCCCTGAGGAGCCCAGGGATCGTATATTACAACATATGTGGTGTTGTATATACTTCTGTTGGATTTGTTCCATTTTCGTTATATCTGGTGGATTTGAATAACTGGCTTGTTATCTATGTGCTGTAATAATGCACGATAGAATTTTGAACAAACTCTCCAACCTGAAATAACAGAATAAAAACTTGAGATATCAGTGCATTAATTAATAAGAAATAGAAAATAACATCCCAATTAATTTAAGAATTATCACTGAAAGTGCATCAGATATTTCTATCATTTTGCTTTTAAGTGTAGGGGAAAATGCATGCAGTCTTCATTTGCACAAAATGCATTTGTGTATTATTTTAGTGAGAACTATGCTTTCAGGGGGTCAAGGAAGTAGTGTAAAAGTGGGATCAGCTTGGCAGAACAGATAAAAATATGTATAAAGAACTGAAATGTTTGTCTGCTTCACAGAGGAGGATAATTGTGACTTTCTTCTGATGGAGAACCCATGTGACCTTTTGGTGTAACTTTAATGTTCTGTCACTCTTTTAGGTTCTCAACCCTTTTTACATTTTCCAGTTGTTCAGTGTGATATTGTGGATCACTGATGAGTATCACTACTATGCATTAGCAATTGTGATCATGTCTGTAATATCCATTGTTAGCTCACTCTACACCATTAGAAAGGTAAGTGCGAAAAAACCAGATGCATCTTTTTGGCTTTTTATTGATTGTCTTATTTTACTGTGAAATTCCCTGCAAATCTTAAAGAATTTTTCAGAGTTATACAGGTAGAATATTGTTACATGTTTTGCCTTTTTGAGTTGAAAGAATTTGTATTTACAGTTTTCTTTGAGACTGTTGCTAACTCTCTGTGCTGATGAATTAATAAGTTGACCTCAGGTAACAGAAACACTACCTTACTTAAATAAAACCCAGACACAAGTTTATGTAATAAGTTGTACTGACAGAGGTGATTCTGTCTTGCCTTGTTTGCTTCTTTTTGAAAAAGCCCAGCAGAACTGAGCACTGGTGTAACGTGTGGATTTGTGAAATTGGTCATTCAGTTTTCTTTGTAGACTTAGCTGTAGCTGATGGAAATCAATCCTTAAACTGCAGCCTCTGAATTCAGATCAGAGGGGGGAAAAAAAGCCCTGTTACCTTAATTAGTTCAAGTTCATACAACTACTGCAGCTTTCACTTTTGTATGTGAATGACCAAATATTTTTATAACATTTTGCGTGACAGAGTATATTTGCTTCCAGAGTGCTGTTTGAAGTGGGAACCTGTACAGGTTGATGCACTCAAATTTTATTTGCCCATAAGTTTTCTAAACTATGTTCAAGAGAATGTTTTGAATAACATTTTGTTGTTAAAGAATGTTATTACAGAATCTCATCAATTCTAATTGTAGAGCTAGAATGTGCATTTAGAAGAAAAGCTATGCTTTTCAATAACAATCTTTTCTTCCCTTTGCAGCAATATGTTATGTTACATGACATGGTAGCAGCTCACAGCATTGTAAGAGTTTCTGTCTGCAGAGGAAACCAAGGTAAATTTCACAGGTGGTTTGGAAGGTTGAATTTAAGTTGTTCATGAAGTGTGAGTGTAAAGTGAGTGTTCTTTCTTTGACCAGATTGAAATGCTTGAGTCTCTTAGCAAAATTGCATGGGAAAAGGAGAAGCTGCAGAGTGGAATGGAGCTAGCACAACTCTGTTCAGGATAAGCCTTCTAGATCATAGAATCGTAGAATCATAGAATTAACTGGGTTGGAAGAGACCTTTGAGATCATCAAGTCCAACCCTTGATCCAACCCCACTGTGATTACTAGATCATGGCACTCAGTGCCACATCCAGCCTCATCTTAAAAACCTCCAGGGACGGTGAATCCAGCACCTCTCTGGGCAGGCCATTCCAATGCCTGATCACTCTCTCTGTAAAGAACTTCTTTCTAATATCCAACCTAAACCTCCCCTGGCAGAGCTTAAGCCCGTGCCCTCTTGTCCTGCTGCTGATTGCCTGGGAGAAGAGACCGACCCCCACCTGGCTACAACCTCCTTTCAGGGAGTTGTAGAGAGTGATGAGGTCACCCCTGAACCTCCTCTTCTCCAGACTAAACAACCCCAACTCCCTCAGCCTCTCCTCATAGGACTTGTGCACAAGTCCCTTCACCAGCCTGGTTGCTCTTCTCTGGACCTGCTCCAGCACCTCAATGTCCTTCCTGAACTGAGGGGCTCAGAACTGGACACAGCACTCCAGGGGTGGCCTCACCAGCACTGAGTACAGGGGAAGGATCACTTCCCTCGTCCTGCTGGCCACACTGTTCCTGATACAGACCAGGATGCCATTGGCCTTGGCCACCTGGGCACACTGCTGGCTCATGTTCAGCTTCCTGTCAGTTGGCATCCCCGGATCCCTTTCTGCCTGGCTACTCTCCAGCCACTCTGTCCCCAACCTGTAGCGCTGCAGGGGGTTGTTGTGGCCAAAGTGCAGGACCCAGCACTTGGCCTTGTTGAACTTCATCCCGTTGGAATCAGCCCAACTCTCCAGCCTATCCAGACCCCTCTGCAGAGCCCTCCTGCTTCCAGCTGATCGACACTCCCTCCTAACTTGGTGTCATCTGCAAATTTGCTAATGATGGACTCAATCCCCTAATCTAAATCATCGATAAAGGTGTTAAACAGGACTGGGCCCAGCACTGATCCCTAAGGGACACCACTGGTGACCGGCTGCCAGCTGGATGCAGCCCTGTTCACCAGCACTCTCTGGGCCCGGCCCTCCAGCTGGTTCTAAACCCAGCAGAGAGTGCCCCTGTCCAAGCCATGAGCTGCCAGCTTTTCCAGGAGTATATTATGGGAGACAGTGGCAAAGGCTTTGCTGAAGTCCAGATAGACACGTCTACAGCCTTCCCCTGATCATAAAAAGAGATCAGGTTGATCAGACAGGACCTGCCCTTCCTAAACCCGTGCTGGCTGGGTCTGATCCCTTGTTCACCCTGTAGATGCCATGTGATTGCACTCAGGATGATCTGCTCCATGGTATTTTTAGTGAGCATCAGGTTTGTTCTACATTAGGTGCTTGTCCTATTCCTGTTTCTCATTCTCTATCATTCCACTTATGTAACAATTGTCATTGTAGTTTCTTTCTTGGCTTAAAGATGTGCACACGTTGAGTCTCCATTTCAGTTTATTACCCAGAAAGGGCTGCAAGTTGGTTTCTGGACTTTGGTCATTTCGATATCACAACAGTTAAAGTTGTGGTGTGTGATATTGTTTTGTAAGACATACATTTGTGTTGGACTTGTGTCTTTGTACTGAAGTGACACTAGTTAATATCTTTTGTACAAGCTTGACTGCTTTCATTAGTTTTGATGAACTATATTCATGTGTTTTTTGTCTGTGATGAATTGGGCTTATCAGCAGCTTTTTCTGTATATTTTTAAAATCACTTCATGCTGTTAATAAAATGCAGTCTTAATTGTCACCACTTGGATCTTGGCTGTGAGGATCTTTATCAGATTTTGTAGATGGTGGCGATTTTCAAGTAAACTTGTTTGTGTTTTAATACTCAGAAATAGAAGAAATCCTTTCCACCGACCTTGTGCCTGGAGATACCATGTTGATTCCATCCAATGGGACAATTATGCCCTGTGATGCTGTACTTCTCAGTGGTACTTGCATTGTAAATGAAAGTATGCTAACAGGTAAAGTAAGCTTGCATGGCTAAATATATTAGTTTATACCTGTGTTCATGCTCATTGTAGAAGTGGATATATTTCTTTTGCTTGAAACTTGTCTGTTCTTGCAATTAGACATACTCCTAAATACTTATATACTTGTGTTCTGCTTATCTGGAACAGCAACCTGGTGCTGTTTGGTAACTCCAAAAATGAATGATGGTTTCTTGTTGAAAAGATTTCTTCGTGATAGTTTGCCTTCCTGCTTTTTGACTTGGTGTTCTCAGTGCAGTTTGAATTCTGCAGCATTGCTTCTTCAGAGAATTTTTGCCCAAACTTTTTAGCTTTTTCCAAGAATGAAGGTAGTGAATAGAATGTTCTACTGTATTTGAAACCACAAACTATTATCTCAAGTTGCTTCTGCATATGCTGAAATCAGGGACCTGATGTGTTTAAAGGACAGCTCAGTGAGTAGGATGGACGTTTTATTATTCCTAGGATAATCTGCCCAAACTGACAGCCTTTAGAAAATGGTAGTTCAGAGATTGTGTTTTATCATGTTCATTTTTTTTAATATACTTGAACCTTTTGCTGCTGCTAGAACTGATAAAAGTGGATTGCTGCCCTAGCTTGAGTGTACTCGGTCACCAAAGGAGCTGAGAGAGATTTTCTTCAACTTCTAATTTTTCTGAGTAAAGATGGGGTGATGCAAGAGAAGGAAGCTTGTCCTGTTTCTTTCAATTAACTGTATTTTACACCTATGTGATTTGAAGTAAGAGGCACAAAAGCTGTATTGGTGAATAAGGAATAGAGTTAAATATCATTTGGGTAAGAAATCTGGTGAGCTGAGGCTAAGAGGTGAGAGACTATCTAAAAACATGCTGAAAGGAAGATTACTCCCATAAGGCTGCCTCTGTGCTGGTGAAGTGAGATTATACTGTGCTATTTGTAGTTGTGAAGGATAAAATGTCCTTTTTTGATCTTGCTTAGAGACTCTTCTTCCATTTAAGGTGAAAGTGTTCCTGTAACAAAGATTAATCTGCCAAATCCTTCAGAATATCCGAAAGCAGTGGGAGATGAACTCTACAGTCCTGAAGTGCACAAACGGCACACTCTGTTCTGTGGAACCAATGTCATTCAAACCCGGTTCTACACTGGAGAGTTGGTCAAGGCTGTGGTAGTGAGAACAGGTATTGATTGTTAAGTTTGTCATGATAATGTGCTATTCCCTTTTGTAGGTTTATGTCAACTGGCTGATACTGCTAAGCTTGGAAAAAGGAGTACACCCCAAATAATTTGATAAATGTCTTTAAACAGTGATGGAACTAGATGGTCTGGAGAGTATCAGTGACAAGCAAGAAGTCTTCAGGATCAATTTAAAATGTATTTGAATGCATTTTCAGGCCCTTTAGATGTCTTCTGTGGTGTGTTAGTTGAACTGTGTGGGTCTCTTGGAAAAGGTTTGACATACCATTGGACTGGGAGGAGTAGTGGAGAACAACTGATTTTGGTGGAGTCCTTGACAATGCCAAATGTTTTCCTTTACCCATAGTTTTGCCAAAGCACGTAGCATTTGCTTAGAAAAATTAGTTTCATCTATCTGTCTACAGAAATGCTTATTCATACTAATATGTAAGGGATTTCGGTTAAATAATGCAAATGTTCTATTAAAAACAATTGCACAGGCTAATGTAGTTGTGGGATTCTGCTTTACAAAGATCATCTTAAGAAAATTAGCACAAAATAAATAAATGCAAGCTATAATCCAAGTTACAATAGAACTGGGTAGAAGAAATTGGACTGTGTTGACTAGACTGCTACTGAAAGCAAATTTTCTACCAAATTACTTCATCCTAATTAGTCTCTTCTTTCTCTGGTGTTTTCTCTTGACCTTTTAGCAGTAAATGTGATTTTTTTCTTTTACTGATTTCATTGATATCTCTCTAGAGGCTTTTATTAGTCTTTTTTCAAAAAAAATATTTCTCTTCCCTTGAACACATCTGCCCTTTAATAATGTCCATCTCAACTTGTTTCATTTCTTAAATAAGAAATTTCATGAGCCCAGCCTGAAGTGCATGTATAGCTGGGTGATCCCAAACAGCAGCAGAAATGAACTGAACTGCTGAAGGTGTGTTCCTCCTGCTCTGCAGGAAGAATAACACTTTTTTTGGAAGTTTGATACCATGGTCTGTAACTCTTACAAGGAGAATTGTAACTGCTTCCAACACACTGTGTCCTACTCCCCTGACGTCTGAAGTCATGTTTTTAGTCTACTCTTTGCCCGTGACAGTGAGTTGGCTCCTGTTGTAAACAGGATGAATTGAGCTCTGTGGGCTTAGTTCAGGTTTTACATATGGACAAGTATGCTTTTCCTGCTATGACTATATATAGAGAGAGGAGCAAAGTGATATAAAATCCTTTGTTCTTCTGTCTGGTTTGCAGGGACAGCTTTTAGGCAAGTAGGGAATTCCCCTCTCCACAGAGCTGAATAGATGTCACAGCACTTGTAGTTTCCTGTTCTTAAGATATTTGATAGTAAGAACTAAAGTAACTCTCACATAGTGACATACAAGTAAAGACCCTTTTATCTGAGAGAGGGGGATGCCACATAGTTGAAGGTAGTAGAAAATGGAGTCCTTAAAAGAATTCTGGGAGAGCAGAACTCCATCTGGTTGTGTGCAAAGGCATGTAGTCCTAATCTTGTCATAAACCAGGATATGTGATGGATCTGCTGGGACTGTACTCACAGTACTCTTCAAGTTAAGCCTTTAACATGACATAGAATAGAATCATAGAATAGATTGGGTTGGAAAAGACCTCCAAGATCATCAAGTCCAACCCCTGATCCAACTCCAATTACTATATCATGGCACTAAGGGCCATGTCCAATATCTGTTTAAAAACCTCCAGGGATGGTGAATCCACCACCTCTCTGGGCAGGCCATTCCAATGCCTGATTACCCTCTCTGTAAAGAATTTCTTCTTAACGTCTAACCTAAACCTCCCCTGGCAGAGCTGGAGCCCATGTCCCCTTGTCCTATTGTTGGTTGCCTGGGAGAAGAGGCCAACCCCCACCTGGCTATAACCTCCCTTCAGGTAGTTGAAGAGAGTGATGAGGTCACCTCTAAGCCTTCTCTTCTCCAGACTAAACAACCCCAGCTCCCTCAACCTCTCCTCATAGGACTTGTGCTCAAGTAACATGTTTGATGTTACAGCTGAAATACATGTAAAATACTGATAAGCTAAATGTATTCATTTTTTTCCTTCGGAAACTCAGTTCATGAATATGTTAGTATGTAGGTCATAGTGACGCAAATTGTAAATAATTTAAAATGGGTTATTTTGTTTTAGATAACAGAATTGTTCACTGTATGTCCAGTGTGTCCTCAAGGACACGACATGAGGTTTTCTCTTAGTGTTTAACCGTAATGTGTTGTAGCCTATGTGGCTACAGAACCTTCTGCAAAACCATTAAAAAAATCAAAAGTAGTTCTGATTTTTTGTTGACTACTATTAAATTACAAAGCATTCATGACTAAGTACATGCAGACATGCTGAACTTCTTTGAACAGGCCCGTGGTTTGTGCTCTGCAGTAGCAAATTCAAAGTCTAGAGGCTTCATGCCTTGTTCCTCTTGTGATGAGCTCATCCACTTGAAGACTGATGCAGTAGATGCTTTGTTCTGGTAGAATCTTGTATGCCACATATTGGGGTGGAGGGCTCAGCCTTTGCTGTGTTGGCTTGCAGACGGAGTAGCTGTCAACGAGCTGTCGCTAATGCCAAAAGACCTAACACTGATATTGAGGTTGTAGTAATAGACTTGGAAGTCTAAGCAGATAGAAAATGTTTTGGGCATACAAGATTGGGCACTGGCATTGGCTTTTTCACAGGATGAGGCGAAGGTTCAAGGAGGATCTTGCAGTATCTAGTGGTTTTTTGACTGTAAGACCCTTTAGAAGGGTAGTCACCTTGTTAAGGTGTCAAAATGTGATCAAGAGGTGAATTTCTCCAAAAGATGACTCTGCACTGCAGTTTTTTTCTGAATCTTTCGTGCTGGCTGTCAAGGGAACTACAGAGACTTTCCATTTATGTATGCAATGTTGGATACCAAGAATAACTTCATTTTCTTTTTGCAAGAACTGGCTTAATTAGACAATAAATATACCCATTAGGTCTCCACTGTGAGGGAAAAAATGCAGTACAACAAACTCTGCCAGGGCAAACCGTGTGAGGGTTTACTGCTGCTGCAGAAGAAGGGTATGTTTTCATCAGCTCATGTCCTTGCCATAGGAGAGAAGCACTTAGTATGATGTGCACGTACATTTTTGAAGGACCTTAATTACACTGTTGCAAAACATCTGTTACTGGATATTGAGAAACAGGCATAATGAAATTAGTAACTTAAGGGTTTTATTCAGGTTTTTAGTATATTTGAATAGCTTTGCTGTTGTTTATACCTTTAATAACTAACTCCTTTTTATTTCTAGGCTTTAGTACTGCTAAAGGACAGCTTGTTCGTTCCATACTATATCCAAAGCCAACTGATTTTAAGCTCTACAGAGATGCCTATTTGTTTCTCCTGTCTCTGGTGGTGGTGGCAGGCATTGGATTTCTTTACACAGTTGTCAATAGCATCTTAAATGAGGTATGTTTTAATTTCTGGTCCAGAACTGCCTTATTTGAGAAAAGGGTTGACAATGACTTCCAACACACTTCAGATGATGAGAAACTATTCAATTAAGTGAACATTTCTTTACTTTATTTTGTATCAATAGAAGGGGAAAAACAAGGTTACTGAGAACAAAATGCATCGCAGAAGCAGAATTTGTATATATTACAGAGAAACTTGAGTTTACGTCAATTTCTGTTGACCCAGTTACTAGATTTTTATCTTTGTTTTACGGAAGATCGCCATCTGACTGATATCTAGTTGGAAGAAATAGGATACAGCACATCTAAAGCATGCTGCAGGCAAAAAAATCCTTATCAAGAAATTGCTAACTGATAACCTAATAACTAAGTTTTCTGGTTCTGGGTCTTTGTTCCCCTCTCAAAAGTTCCGCATTACTCAGGCACTGTTTTGAAGTAATACGTTTTCAGGGGGTAAAGTGAAAATGCGAAGTTAGGGGTTATGGATAAATGTGGTTGCTGATGGTGGGTGAAGATGGTGCGCAATTTCTGGGTCATCCAGAACACACTGTATTGGATTTTGCTCTTGGTAGCTCTTCAGTGGGGTAGTGAATCTTCTAAGCAGTGAGATCTTGTTCGTTAACTCTGACCTTTGTTGCAGGTTCCAGCTCATACCATCATCATTGAGTCTCTTGACATTATCACTATCACGGTGCCTCCAGCACTCCCTGCTGCCATGACTGCTGGCATCGTTTATGCACAAAGGAGGCTGAAGAAAATTGGCATCTTCTGCATCAGCCCACAAAGGATAAATATTTGTGGCCAGCTGAATCTTGTGTGTTTTGATAAGGTTAGGTAAACTTTGGAACTTCGCCACCTGGAGGGGCATTGTCTTATAAATGGGAATTTGTACAGACAAAAAAGGAAAATTACTTTTCGTATAAGTTAGATAATTTTTAATCTCTTAGCTTCCAAGTATTCAGTGTTTGCCATCTGGTAACTCTCTTAATTTATTCTTCTCTAAAAAGTTGTTATTATAGAGATGCTTTCTTATCTCAAGACTTCCAAGTCCCAGCTTACTGCTGACAATCCAGAAATGTGAGAGTTGAGGTTTATTAAGAGCTTTATTTAGTACACAAACTTCTGAAAACTTGAAGTGTGAAGTCAAACTTGTTTCTCATTTTCATTCATTTCAATGAGAAGCTAAGACAGCATACTTTGTTATTATTCCATAATGAAAACATGAGTGAAATACAGTAATGCTACTAGCCAGAATTCTTTGCTTTTGGCTATTTCCTAAATAAAACTTATTTTCCTCCTTAGATTTTATCTCAAATAATAAGTACCCAAGCAAAATGTATTATTTCCCTTGTAAATACATTCCAGTTTCTGTTTCAGCTATGTAAGAAATTACTACTAAGGGTTAGTACCTGTTTTCCATTGTCCCTGGTCTCTGAATATTGACATGTTGAGCTATCATCTTTGGATTTCAAGGTCTGTTTTATTGTCCTGTCTCCAGCGAGGGGCATGATTGCTTTGAATGTTCTTTAAAATTATTTACTGGATTTGGAACTTAGTTACCAGCAAAAAGCAAGGGAGATACAGTATTTTCTGTCCGGAAGGCTGGATTTGTCACTGAATTTGAAAGAAAATATGTTATTTAGGTGTAATTTGGCTAAATACTGTTAATTTTTGCTTTACTTGAGGATAATTTGTTTCTGAAGGCTTTTTCTTACCATACCCCTGGTTTATTTTGCAGACTGGCACACTCACTGAGGATGGCTTGGATCTTTGGGGAATTCAACGGGTGAAAAATGCTTGGTAAGGGTGAGCTCAGAGCTGATAGCAAATGTTGTGCTGTAATGACTTCACCAGAATAGAATAGAATGGAAATTAAATGTGAGTTGATACATGCTTGTGTTTCTGTAATGAGCTGTAGGAATGCCACTGAAACTATGGTTTAAGTGTAATTCAAGTTATAACTCCATTACCAAGCTGAGGAGGAATTTTCTTTGTTAAAGTCTGAGACCTCATTAGGTTCATCCTGCAAAACTGTTGCAGTTCAACTGTTGCATGTTGCCTTAATTCTCTCCTCCTAAGGGATGACTTTTTGGTCTGCTAAAATGAATTAGCTTAGCTGATTGAGTTAAGTACAAAGTGATAAGAGGCCTTTTTATGAGGGATCAAACTAAACAGTGAAAGTATGTGGAGTGTTTGAAGGAGGAAGAAGTTGTGATCTGAAGATTCCAGCCTAGAGTCTTAATTTGTTTTCTGTGATGTGTGAAAACATGAGTGAAGGGTCTTGTGCAGTCGATTTTCTTCTGTTAATCTAAACAAACCTTTCAAATTGGCTCATAATAAATAATTATAGTGCTAAGTATGTTATTACTTCATTGGTTTAGTTTCCTTTTGCCGGAAGAGAGGCCTTGCAGTGAGAGCTTGCAGAAGTCCGAGTTTGTTGCTTGCATGGCAACTTGTCATTCCCTTACAAAAATTGAAGGGGTGCTTTCTGGGGATCCACTTGATTTGAAGATGTTTGAAGCAATAGGATGGGTAAGTGCCATTTTTTTTCCTGAAAATTACATTACAAGAAAGTCAAAGTTAATGAATGTATAAATGAGTTGATTTTTTTAAATACAGATTTTAGAAGAAGCAACTGAAGAGGAAACAGCCCTTCATAACCAAATCATGCCGACAGTGGTTCGACCTTCAAAACAACTTTCTCCAGAATCCAAACAAGCAACAGATCAAGAAATGGTATAAAAATTCAAAACGGTTTGAGTTAAACAAATACATTTTGCTGTATGTTGTGGTTCTGGCTGATAAAATTGAAATGAGATCAGAACTGTGTGGGTGTTGTTGGCAAAGAAGAAACATGTTTAAACTGTTGTTGAAGGTAGTGGTTCAATATAGGCCAGTTTCAAGGTGAGCAAACTGAGTGTCAGCATTACTGGCTTACAAACTGGTTGTAAAGTACAGTAATGCTTTTTGAGCTTGAGCTTTTTAGTATTAGTATTGTTACCAAATTCTTACTGTGCTAATGAAGTGCCTTAGGTGTGCTCACCTTGCAGTTTCAGTTAAAACAATTGTTTCTTAAGTCACTTCATGGTATGGAATTCTTGCCACTGTTGTACCTTAGGGATCTGTTAAGTGCTGAGTTAAAACAAAATGTACTTGTCAGATTTAAAAATTTGTTCCGCCTGTATTTTTACTGGTTTTTAATACTTCAGAAAGGAAAATTCAAGCATATGACTGACTGTATATCCAGATTATCACAGAGCAGGGTAGCAGGAGGGTATAACAAGTCAGTTCATCTGTATGAGTTGTACCGTATAGAAATTGAAATGTATTCCTTTTGTTCAGAACTCAGTGTACATGCACAGCAGTAATTACTGTGCAGTAGCTGACATGGGAATGTTCTTGAAACTTACTACATGAAATTTTGGGGATATACTTAATAACTGGCCTCAGTCTGAAACACTGTGGTACTTTAGTCATTTACATAGGCTAAACAGACATAGGTTGGACTGTAAGAGGTCTTGCAAATTCTAGTCAAGAAATCAAGCTCCAAAGTTCTACTATGTCTCACTTAAAGAATACTAAACGGATGCAGTATATTTATATTCAGCTTTTATGACAACCATTGAAAATACACCATGACAATATCAAGAACGCTGTGCGGGTTCATCTACTGATTTATGTTGAAATAGTTTGTAGCTGAAGAAGTACTTTAATATTTGTGGTGAATGTATTTTTTCTTTTTTTTTTAGGAATTGTTCGAGCTTTCGGTAAGTATGCTTTTTCAATTAAGCACCTGCCTATTTTTATGAGAATGTATGTGGATGTAACTCTTCCTTCCTGTGTGACACAGACTGGTTATGAGATTGGAATTGTGCGCCAGTTCCCATTTTCCTCAGTTTTGCAGCGTATGTGTGTAATAGCAAGAGTTCTAGGGGAGAAGAGGATGGATGCTTACATGAAAGGTGCCCCAGAAGTGATTGCCAGCTTGTGTAAGCAGGAAACAGGTAAAGGAACAAACTGTTTTTATTTCTTGTGTAGCTCAGCTGTAATATGAATATTTTAATAACTCTAAACTTAACCTTTTTAAAGTTCCTGTTGACTTTGAGCATGTCCTGGAAGAATACACTAAGCAGGGCTTCCGAGTTATTGCTCTTGCTCATAGAAAATTGGAGTCTAAGCTTACATGGCACAAAGTCCAGACTATTAATAGGTAAGAGTGACTTCACTTTTTTAATAAGTAACAGGCTTTAAAAGCTGCATGCTTTGGATTAATATGTAATGTGTATTTTTGTTTAAATCAATTACTGCTCTTCTTTAGCTTTCTTCTCTCTTGACATATGTAGTTCTGTGCATACTTTAGTCATGCCCCGGACAGTTCATAGAAATTTAGAATAAAGAAGTGTTTTCTGCAGTGAAGTGAATTCAGAGGCACATCTTTAAATCTGGAAACAAACTGTAATGTTATTTTTTTATGGTGTTTAATTTACACTGTCGTGGCAGAAAATCTCATCTGATTTCTTTGTTTCCTGCACAGACTTATATCATCTGTGTCTATTAAAGATAGTGACGTAGTGGAAACCCTCCTGTACACGTTTTATGCAGTTTTTTCATCTCCTAAAGTCAGCATGTCCTTTTCCTGCTGAAAAGCAGGGCTTGTCAGAAAGGTTTGGAAGGTAGAAAGATTTCTTCCTTCAAAGAGTAGTATTTCCTGTAGATTGTTTTTCAGCTGGTCTTAGTTTTGTGGACAATGCTATCTTTCCCACAGTGTTTGAAAGTGTAGCATAGCTATGAAAATGCCAGCTTTGACTGTGTTCTTTTGTATCAGCTTTGTGTACAAGATGAAGAGTTCGCAAAGCACACACACACAGAGCAGAGAAAGGTGTTTTCCAATTTCAGGTGTGAAAATCTACAGTAGCAGTAGAATACCCAAGACCTGTAAATACACTGACTTTCTCATGTAAACCAAGGTTAATTAGTTTCTTTACTTAATTAGCTAGTGTCTATTAATCTTACTAGCCTTGATAACATAATTTGGTAGCTTTTATGTTAGGGCTCAGCTAATTCAGAAAATAGAGGTGTGAACTCTAAACATATCTTAAAATTTGGCTGTCAATGCAGTTAGCTTCAGAGGATGTTGTCTAGCAATAGCCTTTTCAAGACTATAATTTCCTTTAGAAAGAGTTCTCGTGGAAGAAACTAAAATTGTGCTTGAGAGGAATCAACATTTTCTCATACTGATTTTCAGCTAAAATAAGGGGAGTAAGTATAAATGTGATGATATATCTCAGGTTGCTTTTTATAAAGCAAATTATTCACTTCCTGTTTAAAAATACACATTTCCCTTTTCCTTGATAAACAGAAAATCAGGCTTTTAAAGCTACATCTAATAATTGTAACTCTTCTAATGTTTTCTTCCTTGTCTCCTTTTCATCAGAGATGCTGTTGAAAGCAACATGGATTTTATGGGGTTAATTATAATGCAAAACAAGTTAAAGCAAGAAACCCCTGCTGTACTTGAAGATTTGCATAAAGCCAACATTCGCACTGTCATGGTTACAGGTTAGCATGTAAACATTCATACTTAGAAGATAAAAAACCATCCCTTTTTGGTCTTGTTTTAATTATAGTGTATGAAGTCAAATTTTAGTGTCAGTAGGCTGGGATTACACTGTGTTTGTAGCAAGGGGAGAAGTTTAGAAACTTGTGCAAGTTACTTTGATAAGTCAGAGATCAGAAACCAGAAGAGGCTTTAGTTCTACAGAGATCAGAAACCAGAAGAGGCTTTAGTTCTACTTTGTAGCTTCCTCTCCCTAGCTCCATGCACAAGCTACTTTATACTGAATTGAAGGATGGAAACCTTTAGAGGTCTTCCAAATCAGACTAAGGGAAAGTCCTGGTCTAATTTTATGACTGATCCTCCTTTGAGCAGGAGGTTGGACTAGATGTCCTGAGAGTCCCTACCATTTTGATTTATATTATAAAAGTCACTTTGTATTGGATTTTTTGGGGAAGAATGAATTACGTCCCTGTAGGTGTGCAAAGTACCTATGCTCAGTGTTCCATACAATATGTGTGTTTGCTTTTTAAATCACAGATATTGCAACTTTGGAATGTTTTACTGGGCTAACAATACAACTCTGCGTTTGCATGTTCTGTGACTGTTTAAAAATCAGTATCTTAAATGGCCACATGTTTTTTACCTGATTTTCCCCATATACTAAGATTTGATCAATAAGAGATCTTTATGGCTCAAAGCAGCACACAAAGTTTATGGGGGAGGGGTTCAATGGGCTAGGCTTTGAATGTTGTCTGTAGGCTTGTCCTGAGATTGCCCCCTGATACATTTGGCAGTCCTGCTCCTGTTTCTAAACCGTCTTTGTTAGCTTTTCTCTTATTTGGAATATCAGTGTCTGATATTGATTCTTTTCTAACTGAAACCCTCTTAAATGCAATTGTTTAACAGGGGATAACATGTTAACTGCTATCTCTGTGGCCAGAGACTGTGGAATGATTCTACCTCAAGATAAGGTCATTATTGCTGAAGCACTACCTCCAAAGGATGGGCAGGCTGCCAGGATCAACTGGCATTATGCAGATACCCTCGCAAAATGCACTAGTTCATCACCAGCCATAAACTCAGAGGTAACATGACCATTATTATGCCCTTAGAGTATAAGCAGTTAGTTTTACTGTTGAGTTGCTTTTTATGTTATTCCATTAAATAGTAAATCTGCTATTAAGATCAAATCAGTATAGATGTACTAGTTAACTTTCAGATCTTCAAATACCAAAGTGTAGTTAAGCAGCTGGGGGAGTAGTTTTTTAACTGTGATACGACATTGGACATTTTAGTTGTGCAGGGGATAGGTTTTTTCCCCAATATTTCAATCTGTTAAGACTGCTCTAGCTGCTTGTAGTTGAAACATTAAACCACATTTTTTTGTTGATAAGTAAGTGCTTTCATTGTATGAGGTTTTCTTTGAAGTAACACTCTGAGAAACTTCCTCTTGTGTGGGATCTCTAGGAATTTTGCTGAGCATTAGTTTGAAATGATAAGGTATCTGTGTAAATACATTACAACTGGAGTATTAAACTACTTTTGATAGGATATTCCAGTTAAATTGGTCCATGAAAGCCTTGAGGATCTCCAGATGACAAAATATCATTTTGCAATGAATGGAAAGTCATTTGCAGTGATTTTGGAGCATTTTCAAGACCTGGTACCCAAGGTGAGCATTTTACTTGAGTGTAAGCACTTTTGATGGTGAGCAGACTTTGCCCTGTGAGATAAGAAATCTTCTGTCTTCCAGCTTGTGTTACATGGCACTGTGTTTGCCCGCATGGCGCCTGATCAGAAAACTCAGTTGGTGGAAGCTTTACAAAATGTAGAGTAAGTATTTGCTTAAGCATAGAAAGTGGGAGGGTTGACAGTGTTTGTGTGATAGGAGACAAAAGTTTTGCATGCTGCTAGCTGTTCTGCCAGAAGAAAAAGGTTGGGCTAATAGAACTAACAGAATTTCCTTGTGTTGGTAAATCAACCTATTAGCAGAGTAAGAATGAGAGTAGTACCATCTGCTGGCTAGTTGGGAAAGTTTCACACTGCTCATTAAGTTTTAAATGAGGAATATGGGCATAAACTGACTAGCATCTTGTAAATGCAATTGCTTGGTTTAATAAACAAACCCATCAAATGTCTTCTGTGTATTACAGAAGTGTTATCGGGATGACTTCCGTTCACATTGGTCAGTATATGACTGTGTTGGTGTTGGGCCTTGCAGTTCTGAAGTGCCTTTGCCTAGGGCAAAGATGCTTTAGACCGCCTTGGGATGACAGAGGGCTAATTAAACCATTATTGGTTTGACTGGCCTGCCATAGTCATGTTACTTTTCTGTCTACTTGCTTATATTTATAATGGCAACAGTAATTGTTTTCAACATTAATAATCACCCATTGTTATGCAAACCCTGAATAACTCACAACAATATAGAAGTATTTAATGAAATAAGCTAAAGGTACCATGGTTAGAGAATGCTGATGTCTTTGGTTTTTACAGTTACTATGTGGGCATGTGTGGAGATGGAGCAAATGACTGTGGCGTAAGTATATTTTCATTTTCCATACAGTTCAGTTTTTTTCAGCTGAAAGCAAGTTTTATAATGGTCTCTATTTCAATGTTTACTGGCAGGCGCTAAAGAGGGCACATGGTGGTATATCTCTGTCTGAACTTGAGGCTTCTGTGGCATCACCATTCACTTCCAGGACACCCAGTATTTCCTGCGTGCCAAAGCTGATCAGGTAATGCCACTTAACTGTGAACTGAAATGCATCTATGGAACTCATTGTGCATACCCTGGGTTAGTATATGTTTGATGCTGTAGGAGGCCAGTTTGAATTAAAGAACAAGCCACGCATTTCTAGTGATTCTGTTTCTTTACTGAAAGTACTCTGAGCAAAGACTTGTCATAGCGTGATTTAATATTTTGTTATAAACTCCTTTGCCCATGTACAGTTAATATTTCAGAGCATGAGTGAGCTTCTACACATTAGTCTTTAAATTTATGTCTTAGTGACTACACTAGTTTCCATAAAGGCTGTAATTGCAGCAGTAAAATTCTTCAGATAATTGCTCAGCACCATACAAAGTAGCATACTAATTTTCTAAAGAGGGTTTGACCAATTTTTGACTCTAGAATTTGAAGTTAGGTAATGATTTTGGATAAAGGTCAGCCAAAGAAAAATCTAGAAGTCTGTGTGGAACTAATGAAGTAATGCATTATCAGAAACATTTCTGAAGTCAGCAGCTCTGTGGCTGACTGCATTTTCATTCAATCCATGTAGTAAACTAATGCTTCATAAATGCTTTTGCAAACAAACCTTTTTAAAACCTTTAAAACCTCTGTTGGAAAACCACATGAAGTCCAAAGAAGACTGAGGTAAGGTGGTGGTAGCTCACTTCAGAAGACATGCTCACAACTTTGATGTTGATGGAAGTGTACTTACTGTTCTGACTCTAATTTCTCTGTATTTCTGCAGCCTAATGTCCCTCAAAGGGTTTGCTGGTGTGTTTAATTGCAGCTAACATTTTGCTGGACAGAATTTAACTGCTTGCACAGAAAGCTTTGTAGTTACATGATTGCATCTGTTTTGACAGGGAAGGCCGTGCTGCTTTAATAACTTCCTTCTGTGTATTTAAATTCATGGCATTATACAGCATTATCCAGTACATCAGTGTTACTCTGCTATATTCTGTAAGTATTCTCTAAGTGCTTAAGCAGTGTCAGCATAGTTCAGAGATTTGAAATTGATAGGTACTTCATACAAATTGTTGCAAGTCTCTTTGAGTACAAGACATGCATTCTAAAACTATATTTGGACTAAATGTATTGTTAGTATTTGGGGTTTTTTTCATATTAACTGTACAAAGTATATTGGAGTACATATTTAGGAAAGAAATTTCAAGCATTGAATTAGGAGGGGAGGGAAGTGAAATGCAGTATTTCCTCTTAATATAATTGAATTCAGAATATGGCATGTGGTAGAAATCCTGTATTTTAATTTGTATTCTGGGTAAATGAAAGGTACAGATTATTAAGGGACCTCAGAAGTGGAAAATTTGACAGCTACATGAACTACATAGTAATGTTATGATGTTTAGAGAACTGCAAGCCTAAGTTATCGTTTCATTGTAAGATTCACTTATATAAGTTTGATTACAAACAAATTACAATTACAAATAACTTATGCATCTTGAAAAGGAAGTTGTTTCGTACCTTGATACTTCAGGAATTGTTCTGTGAATTGTAGAATACTCAGGACTCCTGCAGGTAAAGGAAGCCAGTTTGACAAGAGACTGTCTTGTTTATAGAGTAAAATTTAAAGAATTCAGGCCATAAGAGTGTCACTGTAAATTTTTCTTGGTGTGAAGCAAGTATTTCACTTGTGATTTTTCTCTAGATCCTGAGCAATTTGGGAGATTTCCAGTTTCTCTTCATTGATTTAGCAATCATTTTGGTGGTTGTCTTCACTAGTAAGTATTGTGCTGAATTACCATTGCTTGCTTCTGTGAACCAGTTTTTGCTTGGTCAGATTTTCTTTAATATCTAATTACATGTTGTTTGAGTGAGCACTGTGACATACAGTGAAGATGTTATGACTACTACAGTATATACATTAATAAAACCCTAACCACCACTGCATACTAAACTAGATTAATCTGAAATTAGTGAAATGTCCTCATACAAGAAGCAGGTTGTGGGCATGATCTTAGAGAAATAGTTCTTCACAGTACAGGAAGTCGTCAGTCTTTACTGATATGATGAAGCTGTTCTTAGAATCAAGCCAGGAGTTGTTCCAATATCATCTTTCTCAAAAGTTTTGATTTCTTGCATTTTTAGTTGAACTTCTGTCCACGAAATGTTATACTCTAAATTTTACCTAGTGAAGCATTTTGATTCCATGTATGGAATGCCTTGCACTCAGTTCACTGGCTAACAGTAGAATTCCATTTTCAAGTTTAATAGAAACCTATTCTTTGAAGCAATGGCAGTCCAAAAGTGAGGAGACAAGCTGTAAGTCCTTGTGCCAGACAAAGGGAATTTGGCCAGACTCTACTAATTCCTAAAGTCTCATGGCTACTGTTGTCCCCTGCTATGCTGTGCTGCTGGGGAACCAGCCTGTAGAAGGCACTGTGGCATTATTTTGGCGCTGCGTAATCTTTTCAAGGTGGTTTCATGTTTGCAGTTCTGGACTAATTTTTGAAGTGATGTCATGAGCAAGCCATTCTAATTCCACAGAATGTGAACAGGGTAACTCTTGAAAACCATAATGATGTCATTTGTTTTTCATTCTCTTTGCAGTGAGTCTGAACCCTGCTTGGACAGAACTTGTTGCGCGAAGGCCTCCGTCAGGTCTTATCTCAGGTCCACTTCTGTGTTCCGTTTTGTCTCAGATCATCATCTGCCTTGCTTTCCAAACCATTGGGTTTTTTTGGGTCAAACAGCAGTCCTGGTATGAACCTTGGACAGAGGACTCTGAGTAAGTGTTTCAGTGGCTCTGAAGGATACAGTAGTGATTGGAAAGCTATAAGCAATAGTTACTCTCCCTTGCCCCCTCCTTGAAAATAAAGCTTCTGTGTGGCAGCTTGTTACTCTGATGATTTTTTAAGCATACTGATAACATGAGAGTTGCCCAGTGGCTGAAAAACAAAATTGTGTCAGACCTTGCTAGACAGCAAGGTCTAAAGACTCCTCAACTTTGGGACCATTGAGATAGAAATTAGAAATTAATGGTTCAGATCTATTTTAATTCTTTTATAATATATAAAGCTTTGTTTTCCTGTTAGAGTTACAGTAAATCAAGTTTGTATTTTTGAAAGTGAAGAGGTATTTTAAGGTTTTTTAATGTTTTTTTTAGACTGCAATGTTTTCTTAACTGTCTTCAAAGTCTATCTATGGTGATAGTTATAAACAGTCCATGTAGCAAATGTACAAGCTGCCAGCATAAAAGAACTCAGAGCTCTGAATTCGCAAAAATTGTTGCCTCCCTGCCGCAGTTTTAAGTCTCACTATCTGTAATATGGTCTCAGGGAGAAGCTTTTTTTGCCACTGTTGCAATTTGTTCTGTCATTTCACCTTTGTAAGTAAGTAGGCCTTTTTGCATTTTTTCCGTAACTCAGTATTTAATGGGTTTTTATATTGTAGTGCATGTAACGTACTGGACATCATGAACAACAGCTCTGCACGCCATGGGAATGAGACTCTTCATGATGAACATTACATTAAAAATTACGAAAACACAACTTTGTTTTTTATATCCAGCTTTCAGTACCTCATAGTGGCAATTGTTTTTTCTAAAGGAAAGCCCTTCAGACAACCATGCTACAAAAATTGTAAGTCCTTTCTTAGTATATAGTTCCAAATAAAACTCTCAAGTGACTGTGCTCTTGATTACAATTCAGTTCTGACACTTCAGCAGCAGTACTGTTGCTAAGAGAACACAATGCAGTTATCCTCTGATAATCAGAGCTGGAAATATTAAACTGTATGGAGGAATTTGTGTTAATACTTGCTTTGTTTGTAGAAATATATGTGTATATATTTTCAACTCCACAAGTAAGCCAGTGAGAGAGTGAGGCCTTCTGTCTCTTTATGGCTATCAGAACGACTAGTATATTGCCAAAATTTGCCTGGAAGGGGTTTAGAGGGAGAAAAGAGGTTATTTCCAGGAAGTAATGAACCCATGATACATGGAAAAACTGCCTAAAACTCTGATTGTGGGATAGTCCCATTAAAATATTTTTTTTTCTTCTTTTGCAGTTCTGTTTGTTATATCTGTGATAGTTCTTTATGTCTTCATATTTTTCATCATGTTGCATCCTCTAGAATCTATTGATGCATTTCTTGAGGTAAGAGTCTGCTTCCTGGGATAACTGATTGGCTGCTTTTGGGGCAAGCGTGATCCCTTTAGAGCTGTAACTTCACATCCCTGGGTGGGGAAGCGAGAATTTATAACTCTGAGCCTGTTGTGAATGTGTGTTTACTTGACATGTGATTTACTGACCTCTGGCAACTTTTTTTTCTCAGCTCGTGTGTGTGCCATATGAGTGGCGCCTAAAGATTCTCAGCATCGTTATCATCAATGCAATTGTATCTGTGCTGGTGGAGGTAAGAAATTCAAATGGAGAAAATGCTTCTCTGTTAAATATGCATATATATCTTTTGTTTAGATCTCTCTTCACAGTATATGCCAGTGTAGTGGCTGCTGTTTTCTTGTTAAGTGTGTATTTCTAAAAACGGCCTTGTAGACTAGATTTGAGGTGTCAAGGTTTTCTGTGTTAAAAGCATAATTTTAAAACCTTTTTTTGTTAAATAAAAAAAAGGGGGAGAGGAGTTGAAAGACTTGACAGTTCAATTATTTCATAGCAAAATATTTATTTCATAGAACATTTTTTATTTATTTTATTTATTTGCTGCGTTACTTCAGAATAATAACATACCAAAGAATTACATAAAATCCTTAGGGGAACCCACCTTCATTCATTTAGATAATACGCATAGCTTATTTTTCAGAATAATGCATATCTGTGTAACTTGTTCATCTGATATGATCAAAATTCAGAAGAAGCAGAGATATTCATGCAGGTCTGCTTTTTCCATCCATGAGCTTGTCCAAAACCAGTCAGTCTGGATTTTGACCTCTTCTGCTGTAATTCCGTAGAGTGCAGAAACATGCCCTACCCTTCATCCAGGACCCCATTGTTGTTTCCAAGAATCAAAGTTTGACAGTAAATGTTCCAGGAGAAGTCTGGATTCACAGTCAGTCGTTTATTCCTGTGTTAAGTTCTTCTCCCCGTTACACTGATGCTTCATTTCCAACCTGAATACGTTTGGGTTTTGGTTGCAATCATTAGTCACTTTTTTCCCTGCACAATGACAAAGGCTTCCAGCAATATCTAATGCTTGCACACTACAATTACCTGTTTTTATTGTATAGTATTTTCCACAGTTTCTAGTCAGTATTTCCATTACTGTGTGAGGGATTGCTATTAAGGTAACCAGCATGCTTGCTTGGATCGTACCATTTTGGCCTTTGAAGAGTACTACAGCATTAATATTCTTTTCAATTGACAATTTTCCCCCCTTTTATTTGTTAAGTTAAATCAAACAAAGGTTTTTTTTTATAATTGAATCAAAATTATCACAGCTTTGTGTTTAAAATGTTGTTCCAAATAGAATTTGCAATATATGCTATTATGTTGCTGCCTATTGGAACATATTTCTCAGTGTTTTCATGTGACAGCTGACACCTTTTCCAAAACATGGCAGTAGTTATTAATTTTCTTGGCCTTTTTCTTGTTAACAAGTTTATCCACACCTAAAGCTCCTGTGCCTTTCTTACATTGTCCTATAGCTACTCTAACCCTGCTTGTGATGTTTTCCTTTATGCCTTTTCATTCTTTAATTTTTCTTTATTAGTAAACTCTCAGGAGTTTTTTTTTGTCCTCCTTTTTATTTGTGAAAAGTTAAATTTTATGTATATTGCTGTCTTTGCCACTGAAACAAAAGTTATTCTGGAGCTGCAGAAGCATGGCTTTTTTTGTCTTCTGATAATTTTAGAACAAGCCTCCTAGATAGAAATATTTTTCCTATTCAATTTCAATTTTCAGTGCAGTCATAAATATTACTGAGAGAAATAAACTTACCTTCTGCTGAAAATTTTCTGTGTTCTGTAGGTGATCTTTCTAACTTTTATAGAACCTGGTGTTGTTTCGGTTCTGGAAGTGTAAGGGCTCCAGTAGAAAGTCAGTGTGTCAATCCACTTATCAGCATGTGCCTCTTGAGGACAAATTGTTCTCCGCTGATTTAAATTAATTTTTAAGATTCCACTCCTCAGCCTTTTTGGTTGCCACATCAGTCTGTAAACTTGTGAATTTCTACTAAGCATCACGTAAGCAATGTAATTATTGCAGAGTGTTTGCTTTCACCCAGTATTTCCTATGCAGGTCTGGGTTAGCATCTTCCAACACTTTAATCACTTAACTCATTACCAAAACTCCTGGGGTGATTTGTCACATTTCTTTTTTAAACACACTTGCCTATTTATCTTGTTGCTGGTACTTCAGTAATAAAATAGAAGTGCCTAGAGTTTTCTTGATGTGAAGTGTTTGAACTGTTATGCTTTGTCTTAAAATCAGTTTCTTCCACTTCCACTGTTAGTTGAATGCTTTGTTTAGGCAGATAAGTTGTCTTACTGTACAGCATGTGTCCAACAGAAGTGTTGTCTCACGATTCTCAAATCCCAAGCATTGTTTTACGATACACACTTCACCTTCCATAACTTCAGTCCACCTCTTGAACTGCATTTGCCCAACTCCAGCAATATTACTCAAGCTCCCTGGAAGCTTTTCATGTGCCAGCTCCCTGGTCCTATGTGTTGTGTAGAAATTGCAGGCAATTTAATTCCTTCACTTCCAGTGTAGCTTATTGTCTTTCCTTGTGTGCCTGGCTGGATTTTCTGCTCCCTATGCTTTTCACTACAGACTTACTTGGTCTGAGTATATTCTGACTATCTGGGAGAGGCCACTGGTGGCATCTCCTTCCATCTTTTAACAAGGTACTCTGTGTATATATATCACCTCGAGTTTGTTCTGCGGAGACTAATCCTTTAGTAATTGCCTCTTTAAGTGTCTCATAAGAGATACAGGAGGGATTGTATCTATCTTCTTTGGCCACACTTACCAGTTTGATGCTTTTGTGTCAGGCTACAATCATATGTGGTTTTGTCACTGCTTCTACAACAGGAATAATTTCTGACTGTGGTTGTCCCAAAAAAACCTTTCTGAAATGCTCTGTAAAGCTTTGCTCCTTCCATATGGGTGCCAGACTAGGTTCACAAAACATGCAGATTCTTTCTACCAGATGACAGAAAATACTGCACAACAAAGGCAGATCCTAGCAGCTGCTGTTCCTCCTTACCCCTGATGCCTGGTGTAAACATACTTTAACCATACTGGCTTCAAGAATGAACATCTAACAAGCTGAAGATTTGTTGGCAAATGCTTTATAAAAGCACTATCAAACTCTGGTATATTACAAAATCATAAGTGCTATAAAATCTGTTAAAAAAGTCTGAGTAGTCAGCTCCCCATTTGCATTGGCAGAGGTTAGTCAGATGTTAGAAATGCAATCTATCCCAGGATCAGAGTTGTAGGCTCAAGGCTATGGAAGGTACAGGTTCACACTTGTGTTGTCAGATTTGCTTGAAGCTCTGTAGTCTGCCCATGCAGCTGTATGAGAATAACCAAATGTACTGAACATACTGTTCAAGTTCTGCCCTCTTAAAATCTGGAATGACGCCTACTGAATTCCTTCATTCCCGCTGGTGTCTCAGCTTTGCCACCCCACCGCTGCTTTTCTGGGAATGTCACTGCTCTTAAAACAGACTACGAACAAAGCATAGCTCCAGCATGAAGTACACAGTAATGTTAATGGGGAAACTGGTTTATGGGTTAACTGCTTTAAACACTTATGTCTGTGATGTTTCACAGGGTTTTTTAGAGTATTGAAACATACTAAGGGTGTGTATTTATGGTTTTTACCATATGTTTTTTACCAAAAGTTTTGATCATTGTTGCTATTGATTTATAGTACATATTCATATCCTTAAATCTCATGTGAGCACTTTAAGAATGAAAATGTTTGTCACGTAAGTACCAACAAGTAGTGCAAACTCTGTTTTGCTTTGCACTGAATTAGTTATGCCTAACACACTATTTCAGGTTTTATTTGTAATGTGCACACTAACAACAAATGATCATTAGTTTCTTTAATTCTTCCCGCTCGCTGTAATGTCTCACAGAATGTCCTCCTTGATATGATCCTTTGGAAGGTTGTGTTCAATCGAGACAAACAAGGAGAATATCGCCTCACCATACCCCAACCACCCCAGGTTGGAGATGAGTATTTTGCTGTTGTCATTTGAGTGCATGTGGATTGATCTGGTTTTGTCTCTTAATGATCTATAAGTGTCTGTTGCCTTATCTTAAGCTTAAGTCTGCTTAAATAAGATTTCTGTTACTAGAATATTAAAAGTAAAGGCTTCTGGGTTTATATTTTTCTCCTTAGTGACACAGTTTAGTCTGTGTACGAGAACTGTGAAGCAAACCTAGAGGGTTGCTTTTAAGACTTTTCTCACTTTATCTTCAGTTTGCCCATTAGCAGATTTTATTTGTGTTGTCACAAATTAGTGTGCTAGGACTGGGAACATCTTGATTTGTTTGAAGCAATTAAATTGAACTAAAATTAGTTTGGTTTAGAGCTGTAGGTCATTGAGAGCAGTCATTGTTGGCATATACAAATGAAACAAAACAATGGCAAATGAAAGTACATTATTACTACTTCGGATGGTTTAGGAGACTGAAAGATTCTTCAGGTGACCATGAATTTTGCTCTGGTCTGCCTCTCTGCTGTTAGTTCATGAAGGAAATCTATGTGAATCCCATAAAAACGAGCTTTACTTTAAGCCTGTTGGCTTATTACTTTTGTCTGATTGTACATTTGTGCTTGCTAAAATTACAATGGTTTATTTCTCAGCACTAAATTTTATCAAATGTATTCGGATTTACATTTGTCCTTTTGAGGCTGTTGAAGAACAAATTGCTTTATGTTCACTGAAGAATGGAAACTGTGCTTAAAGGCTCATGTTCACAAATTGATAGAAATCTATCATGATGAAAACTATAGAATTGTATCTCCATTAAAATGTCAACCCTGCAATCTGTAGGTGCTCTCTGAGACAAGAGAGGGGTTCACTCTCAGGAATGAGGAATGGTGTTTCTCTTCCCCAGCTGGCTGGGTTACATGCATTAAGACTGGGAGAGAAAAAATAGGAAGGAAAACTTAAGTTCAGTAATTTGTGTCCATTTTAATAACTATTAATACCTGCAGTGCTTGAGTTTCACAGTATCAGCAAGTTAAATTCTGCTACTTTTCTCTGGCTGGCTGCCTTCTGTTTAAAAATTCATTGCTGAAGAAGTGTTTTGAGACTCTGGGAATTTGCTTTTTCTAGACCAGACTTTTATTCTCCATTAGTAAAATCATTTAATATTCCCTGTTCTACCTGTGATAATTGAAACTGTTATAAAATACGCATAAAAGCTGGTGGTGGTCTTAGATATTATGATAATGCAGAATACATGTTTTTAATTAATGTTTTTTAAACGTCATGGCTACCATAGTATAGAAGAGATGACACAAAAGAGAAGTTTCTGTACTACAGGTCCAATGTGACAATGAAATAGTAAATTAGAGACTTATATTAAGTGTGTTTCTTCTAGTGATTTACTGTATTGTTAGTTATGTGTTTGGGTTTTTTCCCTACAGTAATCCAGTTTTCAAATCTGTTCACTTCTGCAGGAGGCTGTGGACCGCTGTGGAGTCTATTTCCTCTCTTCCCTGTTTGGCTGTAGAGAGAAGACACCAAAAGCCAAGTATATGCACCTAGCTCAGGAACTGCGATTTGATCCAGAATGGCCACCAAAACCCAGGACAACAACAGAAGCAAAAGTACCATCCCAAGAGAATGGTTCATATCAAATCATCACTGTAACATAGCAGTGGATCTTGGTGGCATGTATTTTTAGTAGTATGCAGAAGAATGTAATTTTAAGGCTTTATTTGAAATTGCAGTGTGCTAAATGTCAAATTCTAATGCAGATATTTCCAACTGGTTTGTCTCTCTGAATACAAAATTCAGAGCCAGACATCTTATGGTTATACATTTTAAAAATGTAGGTTACCTTAGGCAGAACAAAAATGATTGTGTTTCCTTCCTTCATATTCCTTCTTTCAAATTTCATTGTTCCTGAATGAGATGCGTTTGAAGGTTTAAACTGCAGGGCAGTTAAAACAGATTCACATTATTTGCCTGGAGTATCTTAATCATTGTTCTAACCTGCTTACCTGGGCACATGTTCATGTAAACCCTATGATATAATGGTTTCCTTGTTGTACTAGAGGTACTTTGTCATGCTTTTGGGTTTTTTGGTGTTTGTTTTTTGTTTGGTTGGTTGTTTTCTTTGTTTTTGGGCTGTTTTTTTTATCCTGACTGATGAAAAGCTTTGTGCCTCAGAACGGTTCTAAAGTTTCGATGTGTGTACCTCTTAAGTTTGTCCGTATTGATAAGGAGTGTTTCCAAGTGTAATGTTTGGGGTTTCAGTTCAATTCTTTAGTCTGCCACAGCAGAATTCAGAATGCTGTAGAAGCAATATGCTCTGCCCTTAAGAAGAAAGCACACTGCTTTCAAGTGGGTTCTTGCTAGGAGTTTTCTAGCTAACCCCAAGGAAGGGAGGTGGCCTCTAGACAAGGAGGCATTTGGCTACACCCTAAAGTTTTTGGAGGAGGAAGGCTGGAGAATCTAAATACTTTCTTCTATGTCATGTTTTATTACATTTAGCTATGCATTTCTCCGTAGACCTTGCTTTTTCTAGCAGAAGGGTTGGATTATCCTTGGTGGACCATGTTTTGTTTGTAAGTCTCAAGATAATTTTCCTATGTACCTTGAAGTAGTAAGGCCAGAGTTACTGCTTCAGGGGAAATGGGAGTTGGGAGGAGGTCGATTTTCACATGCCCCTGGGGTTTGTGCACATTAAGAACATGGCACTTCAAAGAGTCTGCCAGTGACTTAAGCGCTATATGTAGCTGTATGAAACAAAATTAAGACAAAATTGAGCTAAAATCTGTCTTGCTGCAGAACTATAAGGCTTAAGTAGATTTTATTTATTAAAAAAATATATTAAAAAAAAAAAGCTTGAAAGCTTGCATCGCCACTAATGTTGCTTAAGCACTTGGGGTAGCCATATATCATTTTGCCATGAGGCAGTATCAGAACACAATACCACTAGAAAAATAGGTCTGCAAAGATGTAGAGGCAGGCATCATTTTCACTTGCAAGGCTTAAAACTTCTGGAGTTTTTGTTTGTTTTTTTTTTAAACACAAATTACTTTTCCAAACAATCGACAACTTTGTAAATGTTTAGAAAAGTCTTCTTTAGTGTCTTTGGGAAGATGATAAATATTGAGTCTTGATCTTCTGTTTTGACCAGATGCAACTGACTGGTCCAGACACCTCCAAGCTTTGGGACAGGATCTGGGATGTGAAGAAGTCACAATTCTGTAGAGATATTTAGAGAAGGAAGTCAGGTTCTTTAGAATAGTTGTGGAATGAGGGCCCCAAACTCACTGGCTGTCTGGATTGTTTTGAAATGTGTGTATTCTGATGATGGAATTTGAGGTTTTGATGTTATGGATTTTTTTTCCCTTGGGTTGTCTTGTTGCTTTTGTTTTTCTGTGTTTTTTTTTTTTTTTTTTTTTTTTTGGTTTTTTTTTTTTTTTTTTTTGTTTTTGTTTTGTTTTTTTGTTTTTTTTTTTTTTTTCTTCTGAAATTCCTGTGGAGACAATTCCATTCCAGCCTTGTTTTAATGAGTGGAATTTTTCAGATCAGACCTAATTCCCTTGTGCTGTTCCGTAAGGCAGTGTGGACAGTGTCCCTGCTGCTCTTAGAATCATTAAGGTCAGAAAAGACCTTTAAGATCATCAAGTCCAGCTGTAAACCATGTTATTGTCAGTTGTCAATCATGTTATGGTTTCTGCAGTGTTAAACATACTGTGCCAACAGGGAATTTAAAAGTGGTGCTAAATGGTTTGGAAGACCTTTTCCTAGAACTTGGAGGTTGAAGTTACTAGAACTTGCTCCTCAGAAATAGTATGCATGGTGTACTATCTCCAGTCCAGCTGTCAGCTCTTCCTGATTTTTTGTTGTTGTTTTTGAGGAGTGGAGCGGGAGGAAAGGGGAAGTGGTTTTCTTAGCATTCATTCAACAGGACAATGTTCTTATTATCCTGGCTTCTTAAGGTCATAAACATCGAACAACATTGGTAGCTTTTAAGGGGTCTGCTGTTGTGGACTTGGATAAACTTATCAGTAATGAACTTGAATCAGCTGACTAATTTCTGCCAATGTTGATTTTACAAAATCTTTGTAGCATGGAATAACTGATGAAGAATAAATCTTAGCTGCATAAGTAGTATTCAAATTAAAGAAAAATAATATTTTAGTTGAAAAACGTTGTGAAGCTATGCATCTTGGACCTGGGAGCTGTGACTTATCCTTAAACGCATAAGCTTCTGCTTTCCATTTCATTGACCATTTTAGATTTGCTGTTCCATGAGAAGTCAAAGAAAATATTTGTGTCTTTCCCTTTTATATGCTTTTGCTTAATACTTTCTCTAATCTGATAAATTCTCTTGGCTTGTTTGGTTTCTGAAGTTTTCCAGTCTTATTCAGTTTATTAGACTTACCTAGAAAGCGAGGAAGAAACAGCTTGTTAAGGTGGACTTGTCTTCAGAGAACATTATAGGAAACTCTTACTAAAACTGAAATTGCCAAGTGTGTCTCAGTTGAGTGACTAATGGGTCATGAGCACAGTAAACTTGGATGTTTTGCAAATGGGAGCTGTTTTCCTCAAGGTCTGCGTTCAGGGTTGGTAAATGTTCCTGAGGTTGCATGCTTGAGCTCTGACGCTTGGTCAGAAATAATAAATCAGCTTTTTTGAGAATCATTCTTCTTGTTGCAAGTTCAACCACAAAATAAGCTTTTGCATTTTCTGCAATTATTGGGATTTATGCCTTCCTGCCCAAGAGCTGAGTTTGACCACCTATAATTTTTCTCATTTTGAGCAGTTTAGTTTTTCTGGTTTTCAGAAATGCAGCAAATTAGATCTGCACTAGTGTATTCAGTTTCTGTTTTGAAGTAAGGAAATTCATTTTGTAGTGAAAAAATCTCTTCTAGTGTTCATCTTGGAAGTCTAAATTCAGGTGAACAGACCAATTTAGTGAGCTCCACTAGATACTGGGTAGACATTTTCTTCCTGCTGTATATTTTGGCCTTATGTTGAGGAGTTTGATTTATTATTAAATTATTTGTGTATGCAGACTTTAATCTGTACGTATTTTATTTTGATGTATTAGGATTTGTAAATATTACTGATTTTTAAATATTATTTATGCACATACTTAAAGGACTGGTCTATCCAGAAGAGCAATTGCTAAATAATAAATGTTACTTTTTAGAAATAAATTGCAAAATCATGAAATTGTATATCCCTCAGGGTTATTTTTAAAGTTTTTTTTCTTTTCCCTTCAGATTCAATTAGCAGTAACTCTAGTTTCATGTACCATAGAACTAAATCTACTGTAAAAAGAAAGTGCTGCAAATAATGCTTGAGTAGAAGCAGCTAAAACACCCACAGAACTGACTGTCCATATTCATTGTAACTTCAAATTGGAAACGCCTACTGTTGCACTTTTAAAAAGTTGTTGGATTTTTAATTCTATTTATTTTTTTTCTTTCTTCATGGAGGTTGTGCTGAACAGTCATCCCAAATTGGGTAAATAATCCTGTACTGTGTATGTATATACAGTATAATACTAAACAGATGTGGAGTCATTTTTATGCTACAAATTTTTAATGCTTATGTTGGTCATCGCAAAATGAACTCAAGTCCTGTAGGATTTCTCCCATGAAATTCTGAATTGTAAACTTAGGTTTTTGTATGTCTGAGGGAAAGCTGTGGGGTTTTGACAATTTTTAGAGTCTTGAATATGTTAATTTTATACAGTAAAGCTTCAGGTTTTTAAAACTATTTTCAACAAACTGCAGCTTGTTTAATAATTATGTGAACCAGAAACTACTCAGTTTGTCATGAATTCCTCAAGCCTAACACAGATTAAAATGTTCATCATTTCAGCACTCTCTAGAAGCTCAGCTTCCTTTTTATGTTTAGATTTGAAATGATACTACATCTTCGTATTTAAAATCTGTATTGCTGCTCTAGAATGGTACCCTGTTGTCAAGAGGCATACATAAATAACTGTACAATAGAATTGTAAATAGACTTGTAAATCATTTTTGTGACTGAAGCTCTTTGAAAATAAAATTAAAATGAACAGATATTTTAACTCCTTTCATTAGTTCCATGAAATTGTTTTTAATTATTCTGTATAGAATTAGATCCAAAGCTCGGTGAAGAGCACAGACTTACACCCACTGATGTCGTAGGTATCTTGTTCAGCAGCTCTGTATTTTTTGAAGGTGGGGATGGAGAAGTTTGCATGCTGTGTGTCAGTGTTCCGCAGTGCAGTCTTACTGACCATAGTTTTTATCTGGTGGTTAATAAGAGCTGTTTTAAAACCAGACCTTGTACATGTGATAGCAACTTGTTTCCACCTTCCATTATTCAAATGTTCCTTCTGTTCTTTGACATGTAGGAGGCGATCTTGAAAAGACTCTTGCGCAAATGCTCCTGGTTGTGGGCTGTCACTGTTGTCATGGTCATTTTCAGAAAAATCACATGGAAATTAAGAAATCTTTTCCATTTTTGGGCTCACCTTCCATTAAAACATTCATTATTTTAAACTTGAAGACAAGATACTTGAAATACCTGGTTACTTAATAACAAAAACTTAATCTTTCAATTTCAAGCTACTATTTTTGAAACTTAGCTTTTTGAAACTTCCCTTTTCTCTTTCAGGAGCCCCTGGTGGTCTAGGGGTAAAGGCGCCGCGCTATCACCGCCGAGACCCGGGTTCGATTCCCGGTCAGGGCCACTCCCGGGCAGGTGGGGCTCGTTAGCCCTTAAAGGCAACCCACCTACGTCCTAAGGACCTCACTGTCACCGTCCAAGCTCGCTTGGCCCCGGCAGATGAACCTTAGGATTAAAGGGTGGGCTCAGTTCCGCGCACACTGTGTCTCACCTAAAAAAATCCAATGCGCAGGCTGGAAGGTGGAAAGACCTTCCCCGGATCTTCGCTCGCGAAGACTGGCCATTATTTTCTCTTTCAGAATCTTTCAGGCTCTAGGTTTTGTTGGCCTGTCACTCCAGAAGACTCTGAGGAAAAACAGAAACCAAATGTGTGTACCTTGGAATGCTTAGCCAAAGCATTAAGTAAAAAAAATTTAATTCCTTTCTGAAATTGCTTTGACTCCAATCCCGCAAGAAAGTAAAAGAGCAGTTTTGTGAAGGTACAATCACTTGGTTGTTTAAAGTGGATGTGTCCACATCTTTAAAACCTAATGCATCTGTATAGCAGACTGTGGTGAAACTGTCTAACAAATTTGAAATTTCTGACAGTTTGCATGGAAATGCAGATTTCTGACTTCACCAGATTTGCAGTGGGTTGGCTGAAGCCCATACTCCAATATCAATGACAAAAGAAGCTACAGATGGTTTTTGTGCTGTTGGGCATGTGACTTAAAACTTTCTCCCGTTCTGTGAGAGGCCTCAAAATGTACTTTTGGAGTTGCATACAACCTCTGGAAGTTGGTTGCTTGCATAACTAATTGTAGGCAAAAATCTGCTCTGAAGCTTAAAATATTCTTTGGCTTTTCCCAGTAGTTGGGCAAATATGGGTGAAAGTGCTATCTAGAGGATGCGTTTTGCTGGTTTACTTCCCATTTAAAGTGCAGAGTCATGGTGAAGCCTGATTGCCTGCTATGCTCCTAGTAAGTTCCTCATAAAGGGAGATAAGCTTCTAAGATACAGCTCAAAATTCCTTTCTCATGCTTGTATGACTTTAGGAACTTGGAAGAAGGTAAAAAAGGTAAGCACCCACTGTAAGTGATACATGTGCTCAGTGTTCTCTGAAACTAAGTTCAAAACTGATTTGAGACTTTTAATATAGTAGCAGTATTCATGTGTTGCTTCTGGCATCCTTTTGTCGTTTTGAGAAACATTAAGGGTGGCAGAAAGGGAAAGAGGCTGTAGATCAGAACGTGGTAAATGACCAGCCAGGCTGGTGCCCTTTCTGGAATGCCAGGTATCTCTTGTGAGGGTTTGAGAAAATTCTCATACATGGGCATGTATAGTTAGGACCTTTGTTGTGGGTATTACTGTATTCTGTATTGTTAAAATCTTCAATTTTGGAAATCTAAATATTTCTTAAAAAAACACCATCAGCAGCTCTCAGTGTTTGAGACCCATACAATTATCCAGTTGTGCCAGTCACACATGCTTGTGGCATTCAACTCTTGCAAAGAATTTCTACCATTTCATTGTTTGTAAAAACTAGCACTTCTGAGCTCTAACCTTGTCTTGTTGTATACTCCTACCTTTTGTTATGAGACCAGAAAAACAGACATCAAGAGTAGCCTATTTCTTATTTTACAGACTCTGGCCTGTAGTTACACCCTCTGAGGGACCTGCATTTGCAGTCTATAGCATAACAGTTTCAGGGGTTTCTCCTGTTTGGTTCTCTATATCCTTAATTCTCTTGTCTCACTTAATTTTGTAGTTCTACTGTGGTCTTGGGTTGAGTTGGTGCAGGTTGAGATGCCAGTCAGGGCTTGAAACAGAAATTTCTTGGTCTTTTTCTGCATAGAAGGTGCTGCTCATGGGTCTTGGCTGGGTTACAAGTTTATTGAGGTAAAAGCATCACTAGTTTTTGAGAGAGTCAGTTTGGAGGGTGGAGATTACTAGGAGAGTGAGATTCTCTGGAAGATTCTTGTTTGACATGGAAAAAGACCTTTGGAACAGTGAGATCTTGTGCTCTCTTTTTGTGATGCACATCTCATTCAGTGAGCTGTGGAAGGCCCAGTAAGATCTTGTTTTGTGGCTGGTAGTTGATACCACTGGATGCCCTGTCCTTCCCTTCCTGATGAAGGGATGCAGATTTTACCAGACTTCAGTACTGTGGACCTAAACAACATTTTTTTAAGTTTGGAGTTTTTTTTAAGCACTCCCTTTTGATTTTTTTTTTTTTAAATGCAGCAGCTGCTTTGGATCTGCAGCTGTTTCAGGTCTGTGTGGTGTGGTATGTTCTTGTCGGCAGTTCAGGTGCACAAGAAGCTCTGCTATTCCTCTTGACTTAAGTGACGGGAGTTGTACCCATGTCTGTCTGTGGGGTTGGTATGAGAGACCTTTGTCCTTGCCCTTGGCAAAGAGTATGTTGGGATGGAGTCCTCCTCTCCCACAGTATTCCTGATGCAGAAAACAGCTATTTCAGTTATGTCTGTGGAAGTTGTCTAGCTATTCCAACTGTCCCAGCTGCTGCTTATCCTGCTGCTCAGGCAGGTGCTTGACATCCAGGTTTATGATGCACTTGGACTTCTTGATTTCACTAAGGAAGTATTTCTAGACTGTGGATTTCTGTTTAACTTGGTCTTTTAAATATTACTGTTTATAGCTACAGTGATTGCTTTCCTGTTCCTCTTTTTGTCTGGAAATCTGTATAACTCTCCAGTGTTGTGGTATGTTTCATGCAGATCCACCTGTATTGCTACAACTTTCTATTTAACTTCATGGCACTTCTCTCATTTCACTGTTTTTTTTAATACCAGGGATAACTTGGAGTTGCATTAAGCTGTTGAAATGAGACTTGTTGGTTATCAGAGGCTCACTACTGTCCTGTGCCACGTGGGCTCTTGTGTGTTATTGAAGGCTATGTCAAAAATAGCCTGTTGCTTCTTGTGTGTTCTTGGGCTGTTCCAAGAAGCGATCACTTGAAAATGCTGAGACATGATTTAACTGAACTGTGCTGTTTTGATTTTGCCACTTAAAATACAGGACGCCCTTTTTACCTCCATTGTCTGTTTTTGCAGGTTAAACTTTATTTTTAAACCTCAGATAACCTACAGTAGAAAAACACTGTGGGTGCAGGACCTTTTGATAATTTTTAAAAAGACTTTCTGAGGAACGCTGAGTGGATAGGAACGGGGGAAGCCCAGAGCAGAGGCTTTTTCCTTTTACCCCTTGCTCCAAGGGGGGGAATGCTCCCCCCCTGGTTCTCCCACCCCGTGGCGCCTCATGGCCTTCCAGAGGGACCACGGGGCTGACAGCCAGGCAGGAGAGATGCAGGCAGAGAGCTTTATTGATCTGACAACAGCTTAAGTACCTTTTGGAGGGATCACAAGGTGACCACTGGGAAGTCAGGAGGTGTTACAAACAACCAATGATGATAAAGGGTTAACAGCCAATAGATGAGTTTCTCGTTATCTCTCAGACATTCCACAGGTACAGTGAGGTATTTTGGGAAGAAGAAAGGTTACACAAAGGTTTAGGATCACCATCTTGGACACATGGTCAATTTAACAATATTACAAGCTCCTACATTCTTTTATATGTAGCAGATTTACCCCAACAACTTTCTGCTTGTAATTTAGTATAATGTACTAAACCTTGTCTCTAGTGGAAAGTGTCCTTCCCTGTCCATGGTTGGAACTAAATTATCCTTAAGGTCCCTTCCAACCCAAAATCACCTGTTCTGTGATTTTGTAACGCTTTTCTCTTCAAATAAATACATATCTTATGACTACTTAGAGTTTCATCATGCTTTATATGCTTTCATTATACTTGACTAGAACAAATATAAACAAGGAATACTTGATTTACAAAAGACCTTTATCTGTACTTCTCAGTATAAGCTGAGCAGCTTATAAATATTTGCAGTAACAGAGATTTTGAAGTTTGCTTTCAAACCAAGAGAAAATTTGCACACATTTGCAGGTTTTCTGATATAATCGCACATCTTTGTGAGTTGCTAAGTTATTAAATACCTATCATCAAATGCTGCCTCTCTCTTATCTCTTGTAACAGCTAATGTTTCTGGCACTTCAACAAGGATGTTGGTGTTCCGTTTGACACTGATGATCAAGCTTTTCTTCCAGTTGGATGCATCAGTTTGTCCTGAGAAGTGTGACTGCTCTTCAAAAAATGCAATTCATTGCTCTGGTCCCTACATAAAAGACCTGGAATCTTTAAATCTGCCTTGCAACATGACACAAATCCACATAATGAACACTAATGTGCCGTACTTGCAGGATGTTTTTTCTAGGATGGTGGAACTTCAGCATCTCATCTTGTCTTCAAACAAGATCTCTCTAGTTTCACCAATGGCTTTTAAAGGCTTGAGAAGTCTGAAAGTCCTCACACTGCTAGATAATAAGCTTGTTGAGCTTCCTCCAGAAGT